CCTCCCAGCACCTCCAGGTCTCCAGTATTGGGCTGGTCTGAGAGGGGGAGACAGAGACAGGAGGCTGACTGGGACCCGTGGAACTTGTCGTGAGAGAGGAGACAACATGGCCTCCATCTAGAGATGAGGAAACTGAGGCTCAAGGACACTCTGGTCCCTGGGGGGCAGGGCAGGGGGAAGGCGGCCTTCTACCCATCTGGCCTGCTTCTTACGGGCAGCCCAGGGCCTCGCTTGCTTCTCCCATCCAGAGCCGTCCTGGGGCGGCTCTGCCTGGGGAAGGAGGGATGTAAAGCAGAACGAGGCTTGTACACAGCTGTGAGGTTGGGCGGCGGGAAACCTCTGGTGACTAATTCCCAGCTTCGATCCGGCAGCGAGGGAGTCTATGGGAACGGAGGGCCTGCCGGCGTGGTGCTGTGGCGTCCCAACCTCAGGGTCACCCACCCTGTGGAAGCTGGGGTTCGGAGGGGTCTGACCCCAGGCAGGGCCCTTCACCCTGTGGTCCGAGGCAGGGGAGGGCTCCTAGGATGGAACAGGACCCCTGCCCCCGAGGCCGTGCCTCCATCCAGGCTGGGGCTGTGCCCCTTTCACATCGCCCAGCTCTGTTCCTGACCAGCTTGTCACCTGCTGGGACACTCAGCCTGGACCTGCCCCAGCCCTTCCCCAGGGAGTTTCTCCTCTCGGAGCACCCAGACCCAGGCTCGGGCCCCCTCTAGCCCATGGCAACGCCGGGCCCACAGATGGTCTGCACAGCCTGCGCCCCCACCCTCCATCCCAGCTACTTCGCTGAGGCTCAGCCAGGGCCTGGGATGAGGGCCCAGTGCGGCTGCGAACACTGCCCTCCCAGAGACGCAAGCAGGGTGACGGCTCGGCTGAATCATGCAGGAAAGAAACCTATTTCACAGGCTCTAAGCCACTGTTTCTCAAACTTCTTGACCATGGAACCATCGCCTTCCCCAGGCCAGCCTATTAACCTTCTTCAGAGCAGTGTTCCACGGGACACCAGTTTGGGAAAGGCAGCATGGGGGGGGGGGGAGACAACTGCAGGAAGAGCCAGCAAGGCTGCTTCCCTCAGCACACAAAGCCCCTTTCCCACAGCACCCCCACACGCAGGTCAGCAGGCAGGGAGGCCCTGTCACAGATGAGGTGGCCCAGCTGGCACTTGGGAAAGCTGGGACCCGGTCACAGGACGTCTGAACACAGAGCCCTGCCTCCTCTGACACCCTCCCACCCCTGGGAGCTTGGCCACGCAATTTCCTCTGGAAGGCAGGGACCCAGCTCCTCAGCAAACAGGCGGGGCACACGCAGCCTCCCCCTGGGGTGCTCCCCTCAGAGGGGCCCTTCAAGCAAGGCCTGGGGGGACAGAGCAGGGGCCCTGCAGCTGCACCAGAGCTCCGCGGGGTGGAACAGAATACAGGGAACAGCGTGACACCCGGGGCACCAGAAGTGCCCATGAGACACTGGGGCGGGCTTTTCTGAACCCCAGAGCCGGCGGGAGCCCCTGGGCAGTGAGGACACTGAGGCTCAGAGGCCGGCTGGCTCTCCCAGGCCCATGGCAGACGTGTCTGCCTGACCCAGCACTCTCCCTGGAGCATCAGGGTACGAGTGGGGTCAGGCGGCCCTTCCCGAGAGGGTCTGCTCTGCAGGGGAGACGGACATGCTGGGAAGGCCCGGGAGGTTCTGTCCCGCGGGTCCCCAGGGTGGCCACCTGTCACCCCACTACCCTCTGCTGCAGGGCCAGAGCGCCACAGGGAGAGTGGGGCTGAGTTCAGCCCCTGGGCCATCCGCCGACCGGGCTCATCACCTGCAGACTGCCATGGCGCCCGCCTCTGCCTGCTGGGGTGGCAGGTGCCACGAAGGGCAGCACGGGGCTCGGCCAGCCTGGAGCGAGGGGCACTTGTGGGGCACCTCCCTGCTGTGGTCCCCAGGGGCAGGGCACCCTCTCCCCTAGGCTTCATCAGGGCGCCCTGTGGCCGGTTCCCTTGGTGCCGGGGTGACGGCCGTGACGTGATGGTGTCTTCCCTCCTGCCGCGTGAAGCGGAAGGAGCCTCCAAGCTGTACCTTAGTCTCCTTTTCAATCCATGTGGATTTATAGAGGGGCAGAGTTTGAGCCGCATCCAGGCTCAGTTCAGCAGGACTTGCAGGTGCACCCCGAGTCTGTGGTGGCAGCCACACCAGTCAGGGCGGCCGGGCAGGGGCAGGTGAGTGCCCCAGATGGAGCAGGGCGGACAAGAGGGGCGAGAGTGGCTGGGCGCCAGGCGAGGTCACTGCAGGGGCTTCCGTGCAGAGAAAACACAGAACTGAAGCCCTGGCCGTCTCCAGCCCTGGCCTGCTACTGGCAGTGTAGTCTGCCCTCGCTGGGCCTCAGGGTCCTGCTCTGTAAGACGGGGCCTCTGCGATGATTAAGACCAAGTGCAGGGGCCACTGAAGGCCCAGGTTGGGACTGGGCCTGGTGTGTGTTGTGGCAACTAGAAGGCCCGGCCTGCGTGAGAGGCCCAGGGCAGACACCGGGGATGTGGCCCTGAGGGGGCCTAGCAGGGCCTGAGCCCGGGGTGGAGGAGGGGCAGGGCCCCGTTCTAGCAGACTGCTGGAGCAGGAAGGGCTCGGCTTGTGAATCTAGGGTCAGAACCGCCAGGAGCCCCCAAGAGGACACTGGCCAGCGGGTCAGCCTCCCGCGATGGGAACCTGAGCTGGGGCTGGGGCTCACCTGGAGCCCTGGGCCTGGGCCCCCTGCCCTAGGCCCCAGCTGTCCCCAGGCCATCACCCCCGCCCACCCACAGTCTCCCCCCAGATTGGGACTGGGGGCCGGAAGCACTTACTGGACCAGTTTTCAGACCTGCCCTGGAGTCCTGCCTGGTGGGGGAGCCCCAAGCTCTCAGGTCTGGGGAGTCGCAGATCAGCTGGCTGCTGGGGCAGGGGAAGGGGTGTTGCGGCCTGGAGGTCCAGCCAAAGCACCAGCAGGTCGGGCAGCCAACTCCCTGGCCGTGAGACCAGCTCTGAGTGGGGCCAGGAAGGCCCGCTGGGAACAGGAGGGCGTCTCCGGGGATGAGTCCCTCTCACCAGGCGCAGGAGGCGAGGAAGAGCAGAGGAGCAGATGGGGAAGGAGGCGGAGACCTCCGGATACCAGGACATAGGGCGACCGAATGGCAGGGCCTGGCCCTGGCTCCGCAGACCCCAGGGCCCGGCCAGAGGTGCAGCCACAGCGGCTGGACGCACCGGGAGCGGCAGGGCTGACCCCGTGGCTGCGAGACTGGCCTCGGCGTGCTCCCTCCTCCCTTCACTGGGGTGTCCTCTCTGTCCATGTGTCCCACACAGATGCACATTTGAACACACACACGTGCTGCGTCAAATCCCCAAATGGTACTTTCTCAGGGTAGCACTCCCTAATCTTTCCCAGCCCTCCCCGCCAAGCCGGACAGGCCCCCTCTCTGCCTGGAACTGGCGCAGCAGCCCTTTGCCTGCCCCTCCCCCAATTCCCATGTGGCACTGCGCGCAGCGCTCCCCGCTTCCTCTCCACGGTTTGACCCGGCGCACGCTGCTCGACACACACTCTTTGAGCGTGTGCGTCACCCGAACCCTGGGCACGTGGGGACCAGACTCGTTCCCTGGATCTACGGGAGGACCTGTGTGGACCTCACGGTGGCCATATGTGCGTCACGGGGGGCAGTCGGGCCACGTGGTGGGCACTGGGCAGGCAGCGTGCCTCTGGGAGGAAGATAAGCGTCCTTGTGGGAGAGGAGTTCACGGAGCGGAGAGGCCAGCAGGTGCTCAAAAGGCTCAGCAGAATGCAGCTGCCTCGGTTACTTGCTGGGGTCAAGGGTGAAGTGTGTGTGGGGATGAGAGGACAGTGGGTGGCCAGAGGACGACAGGGGTCTGCAGAGAGCCGATGGACCCTGTCTGAGACCCCCTCCCCCCATATTCTTCTACAGCCCACATGGAGGGGGGGACCCCCCCAGTGGGGTCACTGGCTCTCTGCAGACAGAGCCCCCAGGGACCCGTGAGGAGCCCCAGGTCCCAGCATTGGCTCTCACGTGCTTTGCTTCCCTCAGCCCTGACCTTTGCCTGCAAAGGCCTAAGCCACGCAGGGAGCAGAAAGAGCCTTCAGGACTTGCCCAGGTGTGTCTTAGTCCGTTTGGGCTGCTGGAACCAAGAACCACAGACTAGGAGGCTTACAAACAACAGAAATTGATTTCTCACAGTCCTGGAAGCCGGAAGTTCAAGATCAGCAAGGTCACCGTTTGTGAGGGCTCTCTTCCAGGTCACAGGCAGCCGACTTCTGGCTGTGTCTTCACGTGGCAGAACAGAGCTCTCCAGGGTCCCTCGTATAAGGGCGCTGACCCTTTCATGAGGGCTTCACCCTCTTGACTAAGTCACCTCCCAAAGGCCTCCTAACGCCACCATAGTGGGGCTCAGGGGATAGAAACATTTAGTCCGCGACAAACTACACATGGCAGAAATGTGGGTCGAGCTGGCTGAAGGGAAAACATATGTGCAGTGGAAGAGAAGAATGCCCTGTGGTTTCCACCTCACCTTAGAGGGGCCCTTAGCCCCCCTCTCTCACTCTGTCTCACTCTGCTTTCCTCTCTGCTCCCTCCTTCTCCAGCCACATGCTGCCCCCCTCCCCAACCCCCCCAGAGTGCCCGGCTTCGGTCCATCAGGTGAAAAGAGCCCAAAAGCACCACCTTTCAAAGTCCCAAGCAGGCCACTCACCCCTGAACCGTCGTCACCCCAGCGGAGGGATGTGGGTGTGCACCCGAGCCCCACAGGTAGAGACGGGATGGGGGTGGCTTTGGAGCAGACGTGGGGCTCTGTTGTCCGAGCAGGTTTCTGGGCAGCAAACAACACCCAGATGCTCCCACCCCAAATCCACACGAAATGTCCTGGGGCCACGGGCTTGGCACGACTTTGGTCTCTCGTAACTCAGTAGCACCCCTGGGTCATAACGCCAGCAGAAATGTCTTTCCCATATGTAACCTCTGCTCTCTCCCTCTCTCATTTTCCAGGGGCCGCTGGGTCTGGATGGAAAGCCAGTAAGTGAGGGCAGTTCCAGGTGGTCCTGGGATGGGGCTGTCACTGTGAGGTTGGGAGCAACCCTGGGGTGCCAGAGAGAAGGATCCCCTGAGAACTTGGCTCAGAGAGAAGCCATGTGGGCATCAGACTTCAGTTCAAATCCAGCTCCACTACCTGCTGACTGCACGACCTTGGGGAGGCCTAGTCGCCTCCTGAAGCCTGGGGCTTCTCACCTGTCAGGGAGGCCCAAGGTTGCTGGGCCTGTGCAGAGCTGGGGGCAGCACTGTCTCTGGCACCCAGTCAGCCCTCAAAACATACAAGGCCCTCCCAGCAAGCCCCAGGCACAGCCCATCCCCCAGTCTGAAAACTGTAATGGTGGCCATTGGGCTGAAGCACTCTCAACACCCCAATCAGGAGTCTATGGCCCACAGGCATCCTCAACAGACCTAATAAGATACACAGGAGATGGCGTATTAAGTAAATAGTCAGATGGATGGATGGATGGATGGATGGGCAATGGATGGATGGAAGGCAGGCAGGCTAGCTGACTGGCTGGATGGGTAGATGGGTGGTTGGACAGGTGGATGGACCAATAGACAAATGAATGGTTGGAAGGATGGATGGATGGACAGATGGACTGAAGGTAGGAAGGAAATAATGAATCAATAATTCTCCAAATAATTGGATGCATGGAAGAATAGGCGAGCTAGTGGGTAGATAAATACCATATTTTGCCATGTATAATGCACACTTTTTTGCCCAAATTTCTGAGGGAAAAATAAGGATGCTCATTGTACATGGGTAGTACCAATTCCGTATCTATATAAATGCTTTCAGTTTTTTATTTATGCACGTGTGTTAAAAGTATAACTCTGAAAAGCAGTGATACCCATAGCAAAATAATACCCTGGAATACGGTCACTGGGTTTGTTTCTAAATATAAATAAATAAATGATTGCATTAAAAATTAAAAGATTTTTCCCTGAAAATGTGGGCCAAAAGTGTGGGTGCACATTACACCAGGCAAAATATGGTCCATGATGGCTGAACAGACGAGTCAGCGAACATGAGTGGACAGGCAGCAGGCTGAGGCCCGTGAGGGGCACATTAGTAAAGGGCAGAGGACAGAACGGATGGACCAGTTGTCGGATGAATGAACAGCAAACCCACGGCTGGCTGAAGGGGCAATGGGCAGTTCGGGGAGGGATGGAGGCCAGTGAGTGCCAGCCCCACCCTGGGGACGCCGAGCCCAACGGTGGGCCTTGTGGCCTGGCCTTCTTCCCCAGAAGGCCTGATAACTTGGCGGGACTGAAAGGAAAACTACTTCCCTGCAGGCGGAGAGTGAGGGCGGCCACCCCCTCTCACACACCTGCCTGCAGGGGCAGCAGCCTCCTGACTGGTGCCCAGCACAGCAGCTGCCCAGCAGGGAAGGACCTACTCTCTGGGGGCAGTGCCTGGCATTGGTCCCTCTGCCCAAAGAGGATGCCAGGGACCCCCCGGCCACCCTCCCGTGTCCCTCATGCTGAAGACTGAGGCATGGCTCTTCCCTGGGGTCAGCACGGGCAGCCTCCCTAAGGGCTGGCAAGCTCGTGTGTTTGCCACTCAGCTACCCAGTCTTGGCAGGAGGCTGGCCTGGTCTTCCTCACTCACGCTCCTTCCTTCTCCACCTTCCTCCTCCAGGGACTTCCGGGCCCCAAGGGGGAAAAGGTAAGTGACACCAGAGGCTGAGGGAGGATGCCAGACACCTGTCTCCAAACCCCAGTCCCCAAGTGTGACCGTGGGCATGCCACATCCCCTCCTGGAGCCTTGGTTTCCCCATCTGCAAAGCAGGGCTCGTGGCACCCACCTCCCATAACAGTAACCAGGCTCGCATTTGACAATGTGAAGTGCCCAGAGGGCTGAATCTGACTTCTGACACCAGCATGTAGCAACACCCAAAGCAGTCTGCCCAGAATCACCAATTTCCCACTCGTGAGAGGGGGCGGCTCCAGGACTGCCCGGGGGTGGAACCATGACTGTGGGTGGCATTCTGTGGGGGGAGGACACCCCCCACCAGGAGAACAGATCATGGCCCCTTACTCTTATGAGAAGGACTTCCTGGCACTTGGTGTTAAATGCCGAGCCACAGCCCGAGGGGGCTGGGACCTCAGTGCCTCATAAGGGAGCAGGAGAGAGGGGGCGTGTGTCCCATAACCCATAGTGGGGTCAGAGGGGCGAGAGGCGGGGCCAACCCCGGTGTGGCAGGGCTGACGGGGCACTTCCGGGGGAGAACCGAGGTGGCTGGGCCACACCCACACCCCAGTCCCTCTGGGGGTCACGTAGGCACAGGCGCCCAGTGTTCCAGGCCACCGTCACTGCTGAGCCTCGGGTTTGCGTTCCACCTCTACCATCAAGTAGGTGGCTTCCGGCAAGTCGCCCAGCGCTGTGGGCCTCAGCTTCTCCACGGGTCAGTGTCCACCAGCCTCTCGGAGCCGTGGGAACACTGCCGCGGGTAGTGGTCTGAGGGCTTTCGTAGACGAGACCCTCAGGCCGTCAGCACAGGTGCTGATTGCCCTCCCACGGGTTCTGGCCGATGCCACCAAGTCATAGAAACAATCGAGGCAGGGACTTTGAAACCAAAGAGAAATCGAAGTAATGCGAGAACGTGGCAGTGACCCGTCTCCGGTGTTTGTTCCCAGGGTGCACCAGGAGACTTTGGCCCCCGGGTAAGACTGCAGCTCGACCTACACGGTTTGTTTCCCATTCTGCTGAAGCGCGCCCCGCACTTCCTGCTGAAGGCGGTCAGCGGGCGGGCGGCCGGCAAGCACCCGCCCCCGCCCACAGCCTGTCCCGCCGCAAGGCCTCCCGGAAACAGCCCTGGGTGGGAGTCCCAGGCATGCTCACCACTGTGGGTGGGCGGACCGTGGGGCTGGCACCGGGCCCAGACCAAAGATGGATCTTCCAGAGAGAGCGGCACCCCAGGAAGGGGGGAGACTCGAGGATCGGCAGTCCTGAGCCCTGGCTGAGCTCTGCCACTTATCAGTCGAATGACCCTGAGCGGTCACTCTCCCCTCTGAGGCGCAGTTCCTCCAACTGTGAGCGGGGCAACAGCCCCATCCAAAGCCTCTGAGGCGAAGACTCGTTTCAATCATAAAAGTGGGCACCCAGCACCCTGCCTGGGAACAGGAGGTGGGGGCCTGCAAGTGACTTACACAATGTGTCACTTCCCTCACGGCCCCCGGGGTTGGCTGGGCCTCCTGTTGCAGACAGGGGCAGCGGGTCCGGCAGGTCACAGTGACAGCCCTCGCATGGCCGCGTCCATGGGGCTGCTGGCTGGGCCTGGCTCCCAGGAGCAGCGAGCGTCTCCAGAGGCAGGAAGCCGGGACTGCCGGGCCTGTGAAGAGCTGTATGCAGAATGGACACAGCATCACTGCCCCTGCCTTCTAGGGGTCACCTCTGTCACAGGGCTCATGGGGGGCAGGAAGAAAGAGCCCCCAGCTCTTGATGGGGAGTGACCAGGTCATGCTGCCGAGGGCCCTGTGGGACCCTCGGAGGAGGGCACAGTGGCCTCCGTAGACAAAGGGGTCAGGCCCTCCCCGTCACAAGCGCCTTTGCGAGGGCCGGGATACGTGGCTTTGCCTTGTGGTCTTGTCCCTCACCCCCCACCTTTCTGACCACACAACCCGTCTGCTACAGATGGTTTTCCCACGGCTCCTCCCAGGCTTTATCAGTAGAGACCAGCACTTGTACAATCGCCGCGTCCTCAAGGTAGACTGGCCGAGTGGGGTGTCTGGGCCTGCTCATTTGCCTGGCGTGTCCCCTTCAACTCCTCACGTTCCCCGGGTCAGCCCTCAGCCAGCCAATCCCAGCGGGAGGAGGACGCAGCCAGCCCGCCTTGTTGCTGGAGGAACTCAGGGCAGGAGCCCGAGACCCTCTCTGGGACCTGCGCAGGGGTCTGAGCCCGTGCTCTGCCAGGAGAACCGGGCCTGTGGTTCCCAGCCTGGGCCCTGAGCTGTGAAAAGAGCAACAGGGGACGGGGGTCTGCCAGTTCTCCCTACGACGGCATGAAATAAACCAGGAATGGCCCCCACCAGCAGCATCCACGGCTGGGAGACCCAACCGAACGCCATGCCCTTCCCCTTGGCCTGGAGTGCTGTCCCCTTGGTCAGGGCCTGGCCGTGCGGTAGACGGTGAGGGCTGCCGTCCCCTTCCTCATCGGGATGGCGAGTGACCTGGGTGTCAGCTGGAGAGTCCAGCTCTTTCACATCACGGGGCCCAGGGATAAACACGGCGACTGAAAGAGACCACGTGCCTCTGTGGCCTTTCCCGCTCTGTCACCCTAGTTAAAGGACTACTCTCTGTGACGCCGGCCACCCCCTCTGTAAAATCGGACAAGGGCAGTGCCCTGGCCAGAGGGTCACAGGAGCGGGTGAGATGCCCCCAGGTGTCCCGGCCCATCCGCTCGGGGCCCACAGCAGGGCCCACCCCACACGAAGCCTGGGTGCGGGGAGGTTGGGCACTGCCATCCCTGTGAGTGGACATGCCCCCGTTCCTGCGCCCGGTGCCAGCACTGAGTGGGCACCACCGGGAAAGCAGGAAGCACTGGGGGCATGATGGTCTTCCCTCCTTGCAAGGGGCGCCACAGGGTGAGGGCTCTGGCGGCCTGAGGTCTGACCCGGTACTAACATCAGCCTGAGAACTGGGGGTTTGGGGCTGCATGAGAGAGACTGTGTGGCCCGTCACCTCTTTGTTGCTGTGGCGATAACTGTCAACTCACGTGCAGTGGGACACCTGATGCTCATCTCCAGTTCCACCCCCACGGTGACTCTCGCGGCACCCAGTGCAATCTCCTCCCCGGGAAACGAACACCGTCGGCAGCCTCACTCGGACCCCCACCCTGCCCACGCATGTGCTCGCGCCGCTGTGGCAGCCGCGTGCAGCCAGCACACCCAGGTCCTCGCAAGGTCCCCTCCGGCCCCGCCCCCATGCCTGAGCCCTGGCAGCCACTAATCTGTGTGCGCTCGCTCTAACATTGCCATTTCAAGAACGCTTTGTCGATGCAACGCCGCCGTCCGTAAGCTTTTGACACTGGCTTCCTCCCTGTGGGTGCGTCGTCACCGTGAGAGGCGCACATGCGGCGTCCTGTCCGCACTCCGTTCTGGTCTGCTCACTGCTCGGGGCAGTGTCCCGGTACACGCGCGCCGGGTGGCTAACCGCTCACCACTGCAGGACATGTGCCTTGTGTCCAGTCTGGGGCTTTCATGAATGAGGCTGCTGTGAACATTCATGTACAGGCTTTTGTGGGAACGTGAGTTTTCCTTTCTCTGGGCCAAATGCCAAGGGTGCACCTGTGTCACCCAAGGAGGCAGGAGAGGACCCGCCAGGAGGTGTGCTGCCCCCTTCCCGGGAGGAAGGGGGCCGGGGCAGGCACGTGTGCCTTCCTAGCACTCAGCCTGTGTCATCTGTCACCTAAGCCCCATAGGTGAGGAGACGGCACATTCCTTGGAGTGTAAAAGGTCCTGCTGGCCTCTTATGCTGAGATATAGGAACCTGTCCCTTTGTGTGGCCACCAAAAAGTGGCAGGAGGCCTAATAACAAAGCCTCTGAGCTGGCCAAGGGCTGGGGAAGGGGAAGGTGTCAGACTGCCACGAAGACCAGAGCCCCTTCCCTTCCCCCTCAGGGTCATGCCAGGCCTCATCTCTTTCAGGGAGACCGCGGGCAAGATGGAGCTGCCGGGCCTCCAGGGCCTCCAGGGCCCCCTGGGCCACCTGGGGCTCGGGGCCCGCCCGGTGACACTGGGAAAGATGGCCCCAGGGGAGCACCAGGCCCAGTGGTAAGCAGGCATGGAGTTGGACCACCCAGAACCTGGTCCTGCACCTACCAGAAACCCAAATTCTGATCCCCAAACCAACCCCACCCCCAGCCCTATTCCCGGTTCAGACTCAAACCCAACCCTAACTGTACCCGGGACCCAGACCCTTAAACCAAAACTACCTCGGTATCTAGACCCAATTCAGACCTTGACCCCAAACTCATACCCAAATCCTAACCCACGTCTCCATTCAGACCACTGTGCAGACCCTAACTCTCCCCCAACAGACTCAACCCTGATTCCAGATCCAACTCTCACCCATCCGCTCTAACTCCAAGGAGATCCACAGACCCCAACTCTGCCCTTGGCTGTGATCTCCTTCCAGTCCTGACCCTGGCCCTGGCCCTGGCCCTGACACACATGTGTAGGCTCTTTCTCTGCAGATCTTTACCAACCCCAATTTCTTTCTCTCCCTTTCTTCCCCCTCCCCGGTACTAACTAGCCGGCCCCAGTCATCCTGCCCTGGTACTAACTAGCCGGCCCCGGTCGTCCTGCCCTGGTCCTCACCAAACCCCGAAGGCCAGACCTCGTGTACCGCCGCTTCCCCTAACTCAGGGGCTCCAGCTCGGCCTTCCCCACCGATGTGAAGCCGGCATCTCCACCAAACTGCCACCAGGGTCCCCCCTCAGGGCAGCTACTCACTGGCTCACCCACTCCTTGTCCCATGAGGCATGTCATTCCCTGAGCCCCAACTTTCGTGCCTGTGACATGAGGACAGGGTCTGCTGAGGCTGACAAGGAAAGATAGGCTTGGGGCTCAGCCCTGGGTCCCTCAGGTACTGTGGGCTCAGGTGGCCGTGAGGCCCCTTGTCCCGTCATTGTTCTCTCTGTGTGTCCTCAGGGTCCCAAGGGAGAGGCTGGACGAGACGGCGAGCTGGTCAGTACCCAGAGCACTTCAGAGGCCTGGGCGGGCAGGACTGTGGTTCCAGCCCAAAGCCCCTCTTTCACACACACACACACACACACACACACACGCACGCAGGTTGCGTGTGCGGCCGTCTGTGTGCACGCACCTGAGCTCTTGCCTGCCCCCAGCAGTGGTGGCGGGGGGATGGCGGGGCTCCAGCCCCAGCAGGACACTCACAGGCTCCTGCGTCCTCAGGAGGGAGCCTACAACCCACTTGTCACTGCTTGAAATGTGAGGAGCAGCTGTCCAAGGCAGCTGGCCTGGAACCGGCCAGTTCCGGCCACAGTCCTGCCCCCTCCTGCCTGGGCCTTGGTGTCGCCCTTCATAAGAGGCAGATGATAAGAACAAACAGGAGCAACCTCTGGAATCGTCTTTAACACCTTCTCTTCTCTTGTTCCAGGGCCCAAAGGGACCTCCAGGGCCCAAGGTGAGTGCTCCTCAATCCCCGTCCCCACCCCACCCCCACGGAAGCCCAGGCAGCAGGGTTAGGAGACGGAGTTCCATAACCTCGGACAAGTTACTGCCTCTCCCTGGCCCTTGGTTTACTCACCTGTTAAACGGGCGCATGATAAAACTCTCCTTCCTAGGCTTCACGCCAGGTTGTGAGGATCTTTTTTTGTTATTTTATCCTCACCTGAGGACATGCTTATTGATTTTTAAAGAGAGGGGAAGGGAGGGAGAGAGAGAGAGAAAAATATCAACCAACTGAGCCACACGGGCCAGGGCAAGCAGGTCAGCTTTCAAAGCCCTCTCCAGACGTGAGCTCTTTCCCGCCTCCTTGAGCGCCACCTGCTTGGTGGGGAGGCAGGCTCTGGTCCTCCCAGAAGGAGCTGGAGTCCCAGACTGAGCAAGAGGAACGAGCTGGGGAGAGCTCCACTTAGTGAGCACCTGCTACTCACCGGGTGGAGATCTGGGCCTTTCGTGCGGCCTCTAGTCTCGCATGGGACCCTCTGAGGCCTTCTGAGGCTGGGGCGTCATATTCCGCTTTCAAGAGCAGTGACTTGCCTGAGGTCATTCAGCTTGGAAGAGACCAGGTTGGGAGTGGAGTCCAAGACTGTTGCCCCACCTCTTTGAGGGGCTGGGGGCTCTGGGCTGCGGGGGGCATGGTCACAGGGCCACTTCCCCAGAGCAGCAGGCAGCTCAGGGGCTCTGACCTGCCTCTCACACGCCCACTGTCTCCCCTCAGGGTGAGCCTGGTGTTCCTGGAAGGAAGGTGAGGGGGGCCTGTGGAGGGGCTTCTCAGCGGGGGTGGGGTGAGCGGCTGAAAGAAGGGCAGGGGCTGGGCACGGGGCAGAAATGGGGGCCGCGCACCGGGAAGGCGTCCTCCTTGGCAGATCGGAGTCCTCACTGTGGGCACGTCTCTGAAGGTAGGGTCTCATTCGCTCATTTGCCCATTCACCCCTTCCTCCCCTTCCTCAAACACATCCAATTTGTTCCCACTTCAGGGTCCAGGACAGTGGCTCTTAAGGTGTGGTCTCCAGACCAGCATGTCCGTATCAGGGGGGCTTCTTAGACAAGCATGTTTGGAGTCCACCCCAGACCCCAAACTGGGATTTGGACTGAAACAGGCTGTCCACACAGCCTTGAGCGAAGCTGATGCACACCCACACCTGGGAACCGCTGACCCAGACTGGCCGCCTCCCACCTCTTCCCACGGCTGGGCCTGCCCTCCTCCCACAGGCCTCTGCACCGCTCCTCTCCTCTGGGCGACCGTCCCCGGCCACCCACTGGAGCACGCCCCTCCCCCCCATAGTCTCTGCCTGGCACGTCTATCTCCCGGCAAGGTGCTACGCATTTCCCTGGACATTTCTTTGCCCTTGGCCTCCTCTGGCCCATCCAGCAGGGACCTCACCTACCTGCCTGCAGAAGGTGCTCACGAGATAATTGCGGACTGAAGGGCAGATTCCCTTTCCTCCACCTGCCCATCCACCCCTTCTGCACACACCTGCCTCTCTCCACCTGCCCCTCCATCCTTTCTGCACACACCTGCTGAAGCTCGTTCTGAGCTGGCCCAGGGCAAGTGGGCACAGGCCACAGAAGTCGGTCTGATGCACCCCTTCCCCAGAGGGATGAGAAGGGGAGGGAAAAGCTGCCCATGCCAGTGTGACCGCTGCCGGTGCCAGGACTGGGCAGCTGTGCCAGGGAGTCCAGAGGGGGGTAGTCTGACCGCCAGGGTGTCCAGGTCTGAGAACTGCAGCCTCCACCCTCCTCTCCTCAGGGGGATGACGGGACGCCAAGCCCACCAGGGCTACCTGGACCTCCGGGGCCCAAGGTAGGGGCCTGTGCCTCCCCCGAGCTCCTCCCGCCTCCCGCCTCCCGCCTCCCGCCTCCCACCTCCTGCCTCCTGCCTCCCGCCCAGGGGAGCGCCCCCTCCTGGCCCTTTCATACAGTGGTTGGTGTGGGGTGTGGGCTGCTGCCCAGGGCAGGCCCGACAGGCAGCAGGAAGGCCCTGGGTCCCCCTCATCAACAGCCCTGGCACCTCACACAGGCCATCTGTCCTCTCAAGGCCTGTGGTGCCCATCTTAGGTGGTCCCATATCATGGCCTGCCCCCAGGCCCGGAACTGGTGTCATCCTGGCTCCCCCCACTCCTCGGGGCAGCCACCAAATCCCAGCCAGCCTGCCTCCAAAATGTCTCTCGAGCCCCTAAGCTGCCCTGACTCTGCACCAGGACTCAGCAGGAAGGCGGCCGTGATCCCAGGTCCCCCGGGCGGGGAGAGCGAGCCCCGAGCTCCCTCTCCGTTGGGCGGATGGTTCCGCCACGCTCCACCGGGCTGACTGCAGACCTGGGGGCCCCTACCCACCCTGCCGCCTGCTCTCACGGGGACTGTCTCTGCTGCAGGGCGAACCAGGGAACGCGGGGCCGCCGGGAGAGAGCGGCGTGGATGGGGCCCCGGGGCCGAAGGTGACTTTCCGGCACTCAGCTTCAGCTTCTGCAGGCCCGGTTCAGAGCAGCACCCTGTCCCCGGGAGGCGGCGTGGTTTCACCTCCAGCTTGACTTTTGAAGTTGGGAGTCCCCTCCGTCCTTTCTGTACATACCTGCTGAGGCTCGTTCTGAGCTGGCCAGGGGTCCGCTGGCCAGGGGCCCGGATCCCTGGGGCCGAGGTCTTGGTCGCATTGAACTGGCCATCAGACTCTGGCCCGCGGGGGACGCAGGCCTCGGTGGCCGAGTGCTACTCTACATGGGGTCAGAGGAGGGTTCCTCGGGCCCTCCCTCCGGGGCCCTCATTACTGGGGTGCCAGTCCCGTATGTGAGGGCCTGTCCCCTTTGGGGAGGAGGGGATGGGGGAGGGGAGGGTGGGACTTCCGCTTGTCTGCTCACACCTGGCTGCAACCACGTGTCTCTGCAGGGGGAGCCAGGCCAGCGCGGAGCCGAGGGAGCCACAGGGCTGCGGGTAAGCCCCCCCCCGCCCCCCGCACAGGGCCCAGGGCGGTGCCATCACTGGGTCCTCCTGTCCACCCAGGCCCCCCAGGGGGCAGTGAGGCCCCAGGAACTGGGGTCTTTTTTAAAAATAACTCACTAGTGATGTTTTCATTTTTATTTTTTTTATGTATTGGTTTTGGAGAGAGAGGGGAACACCGATTTGTTGTCCCACTTACTTATGCACTCCCTGGTTGCTGCTTCTCTGGGCGGGCCCTGCTCAGCGACTGCACCGCGGCCGGGGTGCGTCAGGATGATGGTCCAACCCACAGAGCTGCCCGGCCAGGGCCTGGGGATACAGTTTTGTTTTGTTTTTTTTTCATTTCTGGTCTTATAATACATGCTTTTAGTAAAATGCCCGAATACGGAGGGGTAAAGACAGGGGTCCGACCCTGCCCTTGCCCCTCCCTCGAAGCGAGTGTCTGCCCCCAGAGCTGCCCCCCCAACACCTGCAGACACGGGCCTCCATTATCACGCGTGGTGCCAGTGCTGCGCCTGCCAGGGGCCCTGGCCTTTCTCCCAGCCCCGAGTCCAGGCTCCTTCCTGGCAGCAGGAGCGCAGCCCCTGCAGCTGGTCCCGAGGCCCCAGACCTCCTGCGAGCAGCCTCGTCAGCCCACCCGGAGGCTGGCGTCCCGGCTCGGGGTCTCGGCTCTGTGGCATCTTGCAGTCACATCCCCTCATGGCCCCGGCGGCTGGTCGCCTCCTCTGAAAACCTGGTCTCAGCCCGCAGCCTGGGCTTGCAGGGGGCCGGGGATTAGATGAAGCGCCAAGTGTGGGAATCCAGGGTAAACTGCAGTTCCGTGAAGGTCATGGCCATGAGGCAGCTGGCAGGGAGGCCTGGCCTGGCCGCAGGCCTGAAGCGAAGTGCTCCTGGCCCTGACCGTTCTCAGGGCAGGGAGGTGCCCACTCGGGGAGGGGCGGCGGAGAGTGGGCCGGGGCCAACAGCCCCTGAGCTCACCTGTGTGGGGACGTGGGCGGGTGTGGGCGCATGCAGGTGCGGTCACGCGTACCTGTTGCTGCATGTGCGGGCAGGTGTGGACACATGTGCATGCAGTCACGCGTGCCCGTGCGTGGGCGGATGTGTGCTCCTCTCAGGAACGAGCGGGTGTGTGCACGCACGGTGCGCGCAGCCTCCGCCAACAGGTGGAAGGCACGGCACAGGCAGTGTCTCAGAGGGTCTCGGTGTCTTCGTGTTTGTTCGCCAACATTTAAAAATATGAAGAACATCCCATCAAAATTAGGCTTCCTGCTTTCCCTGGAGAATTCAGGGATGGGGCCTCCGGGGGCCTCGGTGCCCTCGGGAAAGCCATTACTGCCACCCCCAGTTCGGGGGGCGTGTCCCTCAGTTGGCCCCAGGCCCCCGTCCATCCGTGTGCCCCCGCCCGCTTTGTCACTGAGCCCAGCTGTCAGTGCGGAGTGAACGCCAGGGGACCAGACCTGAGGACCGGCTGTGCTGGGCCCACCAGGTTACAGCCAGACTGGTGCCGGGGACCATGCGCAGCCCCACTACCGGGTTCTCTGGGTGAGACACAGAGCTGGCTACCCCTTCAACTCCTCCCAAAACCTTCCTCTTTGTCCTGCCACAGGGTCCCCCGGGTTTCAAGGGCGAGCAAGGAGACACGGTGGTGATTGACTACGACGGCAAGATCTTGGATGCCCTTAAGGTAACGCTGCTGGCGGACGGGATGGGCCCTGCTGCTCATTTCCTGAGGGAACAGCCACCCCCTGTGTGTGTGGATCCCGAGCTTGGCACACAAAGGACAGGAGGCAGCCAAGCACAAAGACCCAGCCTCACCGGGTGCTGTGTTGAGACCACAGGCGATGCTGGGAGAGCCGTTGTGAACACGGCCAAAGGGGCGGGCCCGAGCTCGCCAGAGGCCAAAGCGAAAGGGGCAGGAGGCAGAGCATGTCCTCATGTACAGCCTCAGCAGGGTCTTCTGGGGCCCTCGCTGGGAACTCAGTCTGCAGGGCTAGGTCTTCTGAGGACCTCAGTGGGTGTGGGGTGGGCTGGGGGAGGGAGGGTATAGCAAGGCCTGCCCCAGAGTCTCTGAAGATGGGTGAGAGCCCCTGCACCCTGCCCAGCAAACTGGGGACCCAGAGCCAGTTTCGGAGAGGTGGGGTGCCCAGGAAGAGAGCCGAGGCGAGGGAGGGACAGCCACCAGAGAGCAGACTGGACGGTGGCACCTGGTCCCACCTGAGCTTCAATTCCAGTTATTTCCCACAGGCCTCAGAGAAGCACAAGCTGGTGGTAACTGCGGCCACCCAGGCCTGCGCGGCGTGGCATGGTGTGGTGTGGTGTGGCGTGGCGTGGTGTACCGTGGCCTGAGGGCGTGTGTGTGCACGGTGTGCCCCAGGCGGGCCAGGAGCCCCTAGGAGAAGCTCTTTGAGCCCAGGAGTCGGGCAGTGAATTCTGGGTGCCAGGCTGGGAGACGGCTGCACTGGGTGGGCAGCAGGCGGCCCCAGCTGGTTCTTGAGCAGAGGGGCCATGATGTGGAAGGCAAACAGAAGTGGGCGGCCGCCAGGAAGGTGGGCGCTAAGCGTGGGTCTGCAGGAGAGTGGGCGAAGGGACAGAGTAAGACGGGACCTCTCGATGGGAAGTGAGCAGGTTGGTGGGGGAGGTGGGGGGGCAAGAACTTCGACTTTTGGGGCTGAGGGGCTGGACAGAGCACGGCCTTTGGGTGGGACCCGAGTTTGGGGGTGCTGATGCACGGTGGTGGGCAGGCAGCCTTCTGAAAGCCTAGGTGCAGACAGCAGCTCGGAAGCGGGGTCAGGCCGGAGCCCGAAGACGCCATCCTCCCCTACCCGTGCGACCCGGGAACTCCCTGGGCCAGGAGGCCGCAGGCCACGGGGCTGAGGGTCAGAGGGGTCACAGAGAAGTAGAGAAGGCAGCACTGGGCCGTTGGGGACACAACTCGGGGCTGGCCCTGCACGCCGGCTTCAGGAGGCAACAGGGAGCCACGGCAGGACCCTGGGGAGGGCCGTGTGGGGAAGGAACCTAGATCTGGGGAAACCAGCGCTGAGGACAGAGGGTTCTGGGCTCTCCGTGGCAGTGGACACCGCGTACTTGCCTGACGCCTGGTGCCTCCCTGCAGGGCTCTCTCGAGACAGGGGCCTGGCCTGGCTGGGTGGGAATGGGGCTGCCTAAGGGCCCCCCCAACCCTGCTGCAGCCCAGCTAAACAGGGCGTGGCCTGTAGGGCAGAAGGGGCAGGCCCGGCCTACATCCTGACTGGCTTGACTTTCGCACACAGGGTCCCCCCGGGCCTCCAGGGCCACCAGGGATCCCCGGAGCCAAGGTCAGTGCACATGCAGCTGTCTGGCCCCTCAAGCCCGTTGTCCCCCGAGCCCCCCTCTCCTCTCCTCTCTGCCGTGCCCCCTCTGCTTGTCTCCCTGTGTCCTGACTTCTAGGATCTCTGAGAAAGGAGCCTGCGTCTTCCTCACCAAGCAGGGCGCCTTCTTCCCAGCCCCAGGGACACTGTGACCTGGGAAGCTTGATTCACACACAGGAACCCATAAATCAGCCCCTAGTGATATCACAAAGCCCCACAGACGACGTGGCTGTTCCCGTGGCCTGTGTGCATCATTGCACCCTGCCCGCCTGGCTCAGGAGAAGGACAGGACTGTGAAATCAGACAGGGTCTGGGCCCACCATTGTCCCTGGGCTGTGTGGCTGGGACCAAGTCACTTTAACCCTCCAAGCCTCAGCTTCCATAATGCGACCTACCAGCCTGCAGACAACAGCCCTAGGCACCGTCCACCTCTGGGAGCAAAGGACGTTGGGGAGAAAAGGTGGCCCGCTCCGGGCACCTGGTGGGCACCATGCTGGTGGAGGTCTAACTGCAGGCACTGGACCAGGAACGGCACACTGGTTGGGGGTGCAGCCCAGCCACAGGCCCCTTGCGGAGGCCCCAGGACACTGTCATGACCCCACCCATGACACACTGTCTTCTCCTTTCCAGGGCGAGCTCGGATTGCCAGGTGCCCCTGGAATCGATGGAGAGAAGGTCTCTGAGCCTGTCACATCCTTGGTGATGCTGGTGCCAGGGGTCATGCTGTGTGTGTGCATGAGCATGTGTCTGTGTGTGTGTGTGTGTGTGTGTGTGTGTCTGCACTTGGAGACGACTCAGCGTGTCGTCTGTACGCAAATACAGACGTATGCAAATATGACACGTGCCACTGTATGCAAATCCTGGTTCTGCTCGTAGGCCTTGGGCAAGAGGCTCCCCCTTGGGCCGCCAGGGCTCCTCGCCCACGGAGGGCGCCCTGAGGGTTAGACCACAGGGGTGCGGGAAACTCTCGGCGCTGAGCCGGGTGCCTCGTAGCAGAGTCCTCAAACATCAGCAAGCGTGTCACCGTCGGCACGTAAATGCGCACAGGCGTGATCCTCTGTAGACACCAGTGTCCACGGGCGTCGCCTACATTTGTGGGCGTGTCTTCAGCACTGAGCCCCTCGTGTGCGACACATTGTGGACATTCTGCATTGGTCGAGGGAGCGAATCAGTGGCCAGAATCCGTGGCCAGAGGTGACTGTGTGGGTGGCTGGTTTGTTGCAGAGGTTGGGGATCCCATCACTGGCTCTTGAGAAGTGAGCGCGCAGTTGACCCGGGGTCTGACGAGCACCCCCTTGTGGCCCTGGTGGCTGCCTGGTCCCACTTGCTGCACTGCCTCCGCCCTCGCCCCACCCGGGACCCCTGTGTGCAGGGAGGCAGGTGCGGGGCGCCCCCTCCGCGCCTCTGTGCAGGCCCCTCAGTGCATTCGCCACCTGGGCTGGAGGTGGGGACTCACAACAAGGAAGTGGGGGGACCTGGCCCGGCCTGAACGACACTCTGGGGACCTGCCAGAGCAGGGAAAGGGAGGTGCTTGCTGAGCCCCACTGACCCCTCCCTCGTGTGGCTTCCAGGGTCCCAAAGGACAAAAAGGAGACTCAGGAGAGGTGGGGCCAGCCGGACCCAAAGGGGAAGCAGGCGAGATGGGCCTGCCTGGCCTCCCGGTAAGTGGCTGGTGCGCCTAACCCCCCTACTCATCCCCTGCAGGGTCCCCGAGCGGACGTGCCTGCTGGCAGCTGGGGCCCTGCGCCAGGGTCCAGCCTGGGCCGAGGAAGGGAGCCCTGGTGCCCAGCGCTTGCTGCTCAGGGTCTCTGAGCCCCTTCCCTCAGCTGTAGAGGGACCTACACCTACCTCCCAAGGCCCTGCGACATGGGCGTGCCTTGGTGTTAGATGGCGCTCTGGCTGCCCGGGTGTGCATCCTACTTCATTTCTCGCCAACTAGAACCCTGCACAAGCTACCGAGCCCCCGTGGGCCTCAGTTTCCCCACCTCTAAAATGGGGGTTGCGAGTTCCCACCCCCACGAGGGAGCACACAGGGGGGTCTGAGAGCAGCAGCTGGCGTGCGGTAAACACCTGCCATCACTGCACCAGCACTTTGGCTGTCGGTCTTGGCGGGGACGGACTGGAAGAGCTAACAGGCTGAGCGGCCAGTTCACACCCACTGCCCACCCATAAGGCCACTCAGCTGGAGAGAGAGTGCGAGTTGGCAGGGGCTCCCAGAGCCCGCGGGGCCCTCCCACCCCAGGAGAACCGCGGTGTATGCAGCTGCCCCTGTGCTTTCTAAATGCCCCCGATCCAGGGGAGCTATCGGAAGCTGCAAAGGCCAACCCGGAGGGTCTCTGCCCCGGAAGCCCGGTAACGGGAGGGAAGGGGGGGTGCTGACCCCTGTGGGTGGTGATCCTGGTGACAGAGAGGAAGAGCTCAGGGCCATCCTCTCCCACAGGGTGCCCACGGCCCCAAGGGGCAGAAGGGAGAGCCAGCATCTGACAAGCTACCAGAGAGCCTGGTAAGGGGGCGGCTGAGGCCAGCTGGGTCCCTGAGCCTCGGGACAGCAGGGCCACCTGACCCGACCAAACCCAGGGGAGTGGGGGTGGAGGAACCTCAGGCTGTGTCCTCCACCTAAGGCCCACCTGAGACCCCAACGCCAGCGCTGAGCCCCCACCAGGCAGCGTAGTCCTAGGGGCAAGAAGCAGGTGTGCAGGGGCGCAGGGCTCAGGGCCCAGGGCGCACTCCTCCAGCGCCCCAGGGACTCCAGGGTGGCCGGCGAGGAATGACAGGCAGTGTGTGACTCTGCCCCCTCTGACCCTTTCCCAGGCCCAGATCATAGTGGAGCCCGGACCACCTGGCCCCCCCGGCCCCCCAGGCCCTATGGTAAGAACCTCTGGCTTGAAGCAGCTGGAACACAAAAAGGGTGGTGGGCCCATGCCTAGGAGCTGTGACCAGGGAAGGACAGGATTCCCTGGGGGGTGGGCGGGGGACATGTCAGGCAAGGGGGGCAGGGCCAGGACATGGGCTTAGGAGGCCCCAAGGTCAGGGCCACGGGGGCCAGTGAGTGGCCCGCAAGCCTTTGTGACCACTGCAGGAGGGCCGGCCCTGACCGCCTCTCTCCTCCTCCAGGGCCTACAGGGAGCCCAGGGTCCGCAGGTGAGTTCCAGGGCATGGGCGAAAACCCCCCGACCAGGCCCCCCCACACCCCCCACCTGCTGCAGATTCACAGCCTGGGCGCTTCCAGAAAGGCTTGCTAAGGGGCTGAGGGAGGACCCCACGCTTGGCCTGCAACCTGCCCTGCGTCTTCCCGCTGTGTGAACATTCTGAGTCCCCCCAGCCAGTGCCCCTCATGCCCACACTTGGGGCTCTGCTCTGTCCCCGCTGCTTCTGCCCGGGCCCCGGTCCACTGCTTTCTCCGCCCCCTCTCATGTCGCCTCCCCTTTGTCTCCCACGTGCACACCTGTCTCTCCACGGCCCACGGTCTGGACACAAGCTCTTGGATTTGGTGTGCATTATACTACGTTGCGTCCTCTGCTCCTAAATTAAACCCGTGAGCGCACCCTGCCGTGTGCCAGGCCCCAGCGGCCACACAGACTGGGAGGCCGGCTGGCCTCTCAGCTCACCCCGCCCTGAGGGAACAACCTCTGCCCCCCCAGCTCCGAGGCCACTCGGGGACTCGGAGTCCCAGACTCCCGGAGCTGAGTGAGCTGAGCATGTGACCAATCAGATGTGCTGCTTCTGGCTCTGCTTTGTCCCAAGCCCCACCCCCTACCTGCCCCACATCAGGTTTAGACGACACCCATGCTGTCCACGGGAGGCCAAGGCGGGCTCAGAAACTCAGTTGGCAGTCAGCTGGCCACTTGCATGCGGTGCAGCTGGGCGGGTCCCTGCCCCCTCTGAGCCTCTATTTCCTCATCTGTGAAATGGGTGTGACCACAACCAGCTACCGGGGGTGCTGGAGGCCATGTGCGGGGAAACGCAAAATGCTCATACGCACAGCACATTCTGAGTGCTTGCACAGGAAGGAAGCCAGGGCCAGGCCTGTCAGAGCCCGCAGTCTGCGGCTCTGCCCTGCACACCTGGGCCCCCCAGACCTCCTGTCCCTCCATCTGTCCCACCCCATCCCCCTGACCGTTGTCCCTCCTTCGCTTCCAGGGTTTGGATGGAGCCAAGGGAGAGAAGGGCGAGGCTGGGGAGAGAGGCCCCAGCGGCCTGCCTGTGAGTGTCCTGTGTTTGTCCATAGACGCGCTAATTCCTGTGACCACCAAGCCTCCTAACTCATTCCCTTTCCATCCAGGGGCCAGCAGGCCCGCTGGGCCTTATTGGGCTGCCAGGAACCAAAGGAGAAAAGGTAACCCCCTTTCTTTAATGCCCCTCTGACTGTAGCTGAACAGCCGCAGTGCCACTCAGCCCTGAGGGGTCAACCCCTGCACTTCACTGGTCCCCTGGCGGGAGTTCAGGCCTGTAAACAGCTCACAGGGCTGCAGTCCCCAGAGGCCGTGCTCCCGGCACCCCTCCCCAGCCCCTCACACCCTCTCTCTGTGTCTCCTCAGGGCAGACCCGGGGAGCCCGGGGAGCCAGGACTGGATGTAAGTGTCTCGCCATTCACTGGAATCAGCTCCCAGGTCTGCTGGCATGGGTGTAACCCTCCTTCCCAGGGCTGCGATTGTAACCACTGAGTTTCCCCTGTGTTCCCAGTGCCAAGTCCAATGCGCAGCCCAGAGGAGGTGCTTTATGGATGCATGGGTGGTGGGTGGGTGGGTGATACAAGAACAGATGATGGATGGACGACGCGTTGGAGCGGGAAGGTGGGAAGAGCAGTGAGGAGGAGCCTATTGCGATAAGCCAGTGAAATGCTGAGGCCTCAGCTGGGGCAGTTGCGGGAGGGAGAGGAGAGGCAGTACTAGCCCGATGTTGATTGGATGACGTGTCCGCTGGCTGCAAGGGACAGAAAACCCAACTTACATGGGTTTAAGCTGACTCGTCACTGAAAAACCCAGAGGCACAGCACGTGGATCCAGGGCCCAGCGTGTGGACACAACCCAGCCTCTCACCCTCTCCTGTATTTGATGCCTCTGGGTGGCATCGCCCCTCGGGGATGAGCCAGGAGCCCCAGACCTGCACCCCTCCAGGCCCAAGTCCTGGAGAAAGAATATTTGCCTCACTCTCTACTCTTAGAAAAAGTCTCAACTCTCATTGGCCCCAGTGGGGTCAATGTTGAAATATCAGTCGGCCAGAGAAAGGCTCCGTCCCAGACCTGGGGGTGGAATCACCAGAGTGTGAGAAAGGAGGGGGTCGCCAGGAAAATCAAGTAGCTTTTGAACGGAAATGGGGACCAGGTACAGGGCTTTAAGGAGGAGCAACCGCCCACAAGGAAGAGGAAGAACTCTAGCCCGAGCTTCTGGCTAGAGTTTCGGGCCGCATTCCATCTGTGAGAAGGGTCGGGAGGAGGCGCCATCGGGACCCAGGGCGGTAGCTGGGGCAGAGCTAAAGACCCCTCGGCCACAGAGCCTCCTGGGAGGCCCGGGGTTCCAGTGTCTTCTCGAAGCCACACGCACCCGCTCTCCCTGGCAAGCTGCTGGCACCCACTCTTCCAGGCCCTGCTGAGGCGGGCAGCCTCTCAGAAGCCTTCAGGGACCTCACACCGGGACAGGGCAGCCCCTCCCAGGAGCCCATGGCTTTGCGTTCACTACTCCATCACTGAGCATGGTCGTCCCCTTCTGCACCCCATCACCTGCCACGTTAGACTGTGAGGGGCATGTCATATTTGTACCCAAGGGATTTTAATTTACGGAGGAGACTGAGGGACGGCACAGAGAGGTGTCACTGCCTTTCAGTGCGTTTACCCCTTACGTTTCCCAGGAGAAGGGCGTGAGGGTCCACATGGGGAAGCACCTGGTTTGGCCTGGACACAGAAAGGAGCAGGGAAAGGCTAGGCCAGAGCTTCCGGTGGGTTTTCCACAGGGAAGGCAAGACAGGCGGGCAAGGGAAACAGAATAGGATTGGCCAGTTTGAATGAGGCCAGCAGGCTGCAGCCACAGGGGTGGCCTCTCGCTGCCTGCTGCCTGGCCAAGGGATGGTTTCAGATGGGAAATACTGCTGTGGGTGTGAGAGGCAGACAAGGGGGCGCCAGGGGGACTGGCTGGTTTGCATCTGAAGGGCGTGCTCCCAGACTAGCCCTTTGCCACTCTAAGAAGTGGCTGGTTCTGGGAGGGACAGCCTCTCCCCAGCCAGCAAGATTTTTAAGACGTCAAAACACCATGCCCTGGCTGGTGGGGCTCGGGTGGGTGGACACCGTCCCGCAAACGGAAGGGGGGCGGACTCGACTTCCGGTCAGGGCAGCCCACCCATGTTCCTCTCTTGCATCAGTCTTTCTCTCCCTCTTTCTCTCCTTCCCTTCCCCTCTTTCTAAAATCAATAAGCATGTCCTCGGGTGAGGATTTTAAAAAATCGTCAGATATAGAAAATAAACCACATAATAAATACGAGCGGGAGCATGTCACGTCTGTCCCTCTGTACCCAGAACACAGCCCAGGTCCTAGTAGACGCGTGGAAATGTTGGTTGTGTGGATGGACAGAGAGACAAACGGATGGACAGAGGGGTGGGTGCACAAGAGTTTGAGCCAAACCCAGAGAAGACAGGTCATTTCTTGGTCTGTAGAAAATGGTGACATAGACTTCTGTGGGTCTCCTGAGTCTGTCCCCAACCAAGTCTGGGCCAGTGCCAGCTGCGTCCGACTAACACGAGTCGAAGAAAGGCCCTCTGCCAGCCGTCCCGCCCAGGGCTCCCGACTGCAGACTCCGGCCGCGTCCTCCTCCGGAGGGAGGTCTGGTGTCCTGAGGGCACGCATCTCCCCAAACCCACCTGGACCCAGCCTATGCGTCCCCCAGGAGTTGGAGCCAGGCCAGCTGGCACCGGGAAGGAGGAGGGAGGGGGCGGAGGGGGGCAAATCTGAGGGGCGCACCTCATACCTCATGTTCGGGTTTAACCTCTAATCCTTTTGTCAGGGTTTCCCTGGACCCCGAGGAGAGAAAGGCGACCGCAGCGAGCGTGGAGAGAAGGTGGGGTAGGCGAAGAGAAAGGGCGGGGCAGCTAGAGAGGAGGTAGGGCAGGTGAGGAGGGGGCCGGTGAAGAGGAGGGGCGAGCAAGGACGAGGGAGGCCAGAGGCAGGCAGAGAGAGGCAGGGTGGGCTGGTGGAGGCCGGGATGGGGGCAGCAGGGCAGGCAGACTGCCAGCCCCAGGCCCCCGTCAGAGGTGCTGGAGGCGTCCTGGGGTCCGCGGCCTCGGCCATACCCCCGTCTCCCTTCTCGTGCAGGGGGAGCGAGGCATCCCAGGCCGGAAAGGAGTGAAGGGCCAGAAGGGCGAGCCGGGGCCGCCAGGCCTGGACCAGCCATGCCCTGTGGTATGTGTCGGATGAGGAGGAGGGGCGCCCTTACCAAGGTCTCTGCCGCCTCCTGCCAACGTCCTCTTTGTCCCCAGATCTCAGGTGCACATCTCAGGCCACACTGGCCCAGCCTCCTCTATAGAAAGGGGGGCCCTGCCAGGGGCAGAACCTGGTCACTGGGGTCGCTGCCCCTCTTTGCTGTGCTTCCTCACCCACAAAGGAGGGTGGGACCGCCCTTCCCTCTCCAGGTGTCTGTCCACCTGGAAAGGGGCTTTCTGTGCCTGGGGTAGCCCCAGGCTATGCGCCACCTCTCCTCCACCTGCCCTAGACCCCTCCCTTCCCCCTCCCCCACAGCCCCCAATGGCCCGCCCAACCCAAGTGCCTGAAATGGCCAAAAGTCAGGTCCGTTTTCCTAGAAGGCAGAGGAGAGACACGTCAGACTCTTTCAGGGGGCTTGGAACAGACGGGAAACAAAACAGCTGAGCTTCCAAGCTGGAGCTGCCCGGATGCTCACGCCTGGCCGGTGCCCTGAGGACAGGGGCCTCCAGCTGCGTGTGCAGCCACTTTCCAAAGGGAGGTCAGGGCCAGGAGCCCCAGGGGCCCAGTCCTCTGCCCCCCTTGACTGAATCACTCAGCCCTCAGGTCCTCAGTCTCTTTATCCACACAATGGGGGTGCTAATCCCGCCTCCAGATGGTTTTGAAGAGGTGATAAGAAAAACAGGTGAAAACCTGAGTGGTGAGCACACCCAAAGTGCCAGGGACAGCAGGGGACAGGGTGGCCCCAAAGATCCAGCCCCTGGGTCAAGCCTTTCCCCCAAGTCATGAAGTGTTTGTCTCTGAAACAGGAAAGCCCTGAACGCAGAGGCAAGCCAGGGGCACTGGGCTCACAGGGCCCGGCGAGGGGCCGCGGGCCCCGCCCTGCGGTAGGCGGCCTGGCTTGCTGTGTGCTGTGCTGCTGGCGTCTGCCCGCCCTCCCCCTGCCCACCCCGCCCCCGCCCCATCCTGCCTGCCTCCTCTCCTCCCCCTCTGCCCCAGCCTGTGCCCCCACTGGATGCACGGCAGTGTGCTGATGCCCCTGGGTGTCTGAGGCCCTTGGGACAGAGTGGTGTTTGTGCCCCAGGGCCCCCAGGACTGTAGGGTCAGCCTTTGTCCCTCTCCAGCCCCCCATCCTCCGGGCCCCCTGAGGACCCCCACCCCCTGCCTGTGTCTGACTGCTGAACGTGGCATGGCTGATGCCACCAGACAACCCCCCGCCGGCCCCTCCTGACTGGCTGTGGCACAGAGACCAGGATGGGTGCGTGCAAGGGGATGCCCTGAGTTGTCCATACACGCTTCAGTCCCTGAGAACTCTCAGGCCCCCAGGGTGAGGGTCTGGAGCTCTTGTCATGGCCACCAGGCAGAAAGACACACAGTCCCTCAGCACAGCCAGGCCAGGTCCTCCCATACCCTGCAGATGTCCAGCACAAGCTCCTGGTTCCACCCACTGCACAGGTGTCCCAACAAACCCTATAGGGGCACAGAGGGACAAGTGCAGGAGGAGTGGCCTGTCCTACGGCCAGGTGGCCTGGGTAGACAGGACAGGCCTTCGGGCTCAGTTTCGATGGGGACCAGCAGCCCCACGTGGCAGCTCCCTGGGCTGCACAGGCCACGCCGGGCAGGACTGGGCCGGGGCAGGAGTGTGCCAGGGCCCCGCCCCGCCCCTGAAGCCTTCCTTCTTTCCAGGGCACTGACGGCCTGCCCATCCCTGGCTGCTGGCATCAGGTATCTTGTGGGGAAGTCTCCGGGACGGGCTGGGAGGAGTGGGGGCACAAGAGGGGCCCTGAGGGTGGGTGTCTTCGGCTCCCTACACGGTGACTGAACAGCCAGGCTTCTGTGTCACGGGCCTAGCTTTACTTCTCCCAACACGTGGCCTGAGGCCAGGGCCACAGTCCTGGCTGATTATGCAGAGCCCCCCTGCCGGTTGGACGGGCCCACTCAGCACTTGGCGCAGAGGGGAGCCCCCGGGGCCAGACACCCCTCCTCACCGTTAGTCTCTCCCTCCTTCTCCAGTGATCCTCAGCACCCAGCTCGCAACCTGTACAGATCCATGTGGACATTTCTAATTTTTGTAAAAACGAAACAGTAATATATTGATCTTTCACGGGACGCACTGCCTGGGGCCTCCAACCTTTGAGCTTGTGCCTGGCCCTGCCCCAGAACCACCAGAGTGTGGCGCTGGCAGGCACGCAGATGGGCCAGTCGGGGAACTGTGAGCTGGAGGGGCACCCACTGGCCTTTGGAAGGAGACAAAGGTGAAGGTGCCTGGCTCAGGTGAGGCTGCACAGAAGCAGGGTGGAGCCTTCCGTTGCCTGATAGCAGACTCCAGCTGCCCGGCTGCCCTATGAGAGCCTGCCCCCTGAAGCCCCAGAGCCTTGGGGACCTCCTGGGGCACGGATGGCCCCTGCAGCTGCTCCTGGCCTCTCCAGCCAGAGCCAGCTGTCCATCCTGCCAGGCCCTCCTGAACCCTGGGCTCACCAGGGCAGGGCAAGACTCCTGCCCCAGGCAGTTCTAGCTCTCCAAGTTCAGTAGGCCTCAGGAAGCCAGCACGGACAAGAATACATGTCTTCCGGCTGGGAGGACAGGCCGAGAACTGTGGTCACCACCCGTGGACTCAGCTGCAGGGAGCTCCGGGGGCCCCCAGCGTGGAGGATGGAAAGACCCAGGCTGAACTGGCTGCCGCTTCCTGTCTGCCTCCCCCGCACCGACCCAGAGCAGGAGTGTGACGGGACTTTGCCAGCCTGGGGAGATGGGCCTCCAGCTCAGAGTTTGGGTGTCACTGGCCCCAGTGAGAACTCGGGTCCTCTGGGTGCACTGTCAGATGAAGAAACGGCAGGGTGGGGTCCCCCGGCGGCCCCAGCAGGGGGCCTGCAACCTGCACATCTGCCCTCTTAGAAGAGGCTTCCCCACCTCTGACAAAGGTCCCCAGCCACCAGCTCTGGCCAGCCACTTGCCTCCCCTCTCTGTGTAGGTGGACACTGCTGTGTGTAATAAACCATGGACTGACGTCTGGGTGCGCCTGTCCCTGCAGAGGGCCCCGGGCGCCTCTGCTCAGGCCCCGCCCTGGCCACTGCAACGTGGGGAGGGGCAGGGGACACTCTTCCTGGGTCAGAGCACCCCAGACACCAGAGAAAATAGTTCAGGGTCAGGGCAAAGACGGGGTTGGGAGCTTGGAAGACACATACCAGCAGAGCCCCCTGGCCAGTCATATCTGTGAGCCAGTGGCCAGTGACTGCCGTGTAGAAAATCACCCCAACACGTGCTGCCTTAAGACAACAGTCCTCCACACTTTGACAGTGCTGGGGTTGCTGGGCTCCACCGGGCAGCGGTGGCGCACGGTCCCCTGGTTGGTTGGCACTGGCTGTCAGCTGGGGGGGTCAGGTGGCCAGAACACCCGCTGTGGGAAATGCGGGAGAAACAGGGCGGGAGGAGCCAGATGATCTGATCCAAGGGCCATGATTTAATGCTGTGCTCACAGGCAGGCTGAGTCGGGATCAACTGCTACCCCAAGGTAGCAGTTGGGGGTTTTTAAAAGAAAAGCGTGGGGTTTGTGAGGGGACAAGGAGGGTTAGTTTCTTGTTCTCCCGGGCGGGTGCCTCAGGGCTCCAGGATGTGAGCCAGGACAGCGGGTCAGGTAAAGGGCGGGCTGCACCCAGGTGTAAGAGGGTCAGTCTGACCACTGGCCGCCGTGGCTGGCGCCGATGCCTACTGTGCGCAGTGGGAGAGAGTTCCGATTAAGCCGCAGGCTACCGAGTGAGTCGAGATAACTGAGTCGTGGGCAGTCCAGTGGGTGGGAACTGGCCCGACCCTTTCACCCACCCTGGGCCTCTCCCTGTGGTCTGGGCTCCTCACGGCACAGCTGCAGGACTCAGGGTGGACACTCTGTGGCAAACCAGGGGAAGCTGTGTCACCTTTTATGGCCGAGCCTCAGAAGTCACATGGTGCCAGCTCCTGGCAGTCAGTGGTTGACTTCCAATTCAAGGGAAAAGTGTCAACATACTTTAAGGAGAAAATGCAGGTCTGGTTGCAGCCCTCTTAGAGAACTCCGCCTGCCACCTCACCTGTACAAAGGGACAGTGATGCCTGGTCTCCGACAGCGGTTAGTGGAGACCAGCTGCATGGAACACAAGAACCCAGGCAGGCCAGGCACCTGGCAGCTCCCGTGGTTCCAAGTGCTCCCCACTCCAAGACCAAGCAAGGGACAGAGTCTTGCAAAACGTGTCTACACCACTCATTCCAGCTGGTCCTTTGTTTGAACAACCCTGAGAGAGGGGCCCAGCCAATATGCCCATCGCACAGATGACAAAATCAAGCCCATCCGGGGCGGTGCAGACGAGGAGGAGCCTGCAGTGATGGTGTCTCAGGCCCTCTCCCTCCAAGGACTGAGGCCCGGGGAGAGCCGCGGTTTGCGCAGCCCCCCAACCCCCACTCTGTGGCCTCCTCACTGCACTGAAGAGGCCTGGCCACACCCGGCCGTGGATGAGGAATGTGTCAAGTCTGCGCCTCTGTCTCCCTAAGCTGCTGGCGATGCGGGGCAGGCCCACTGCTCAGCCGGCCAGTCTGGGTCACCAGGGAAGCCAGCAGTGTGAAGAGGATGGGAAACAGTAGGGCCATGAAGACCGATGAGGTCACAGGCTGTCCAAGTGCCCTTTGCTGTTCCAGCAGAACCTCACAAACCAACCGCACTTTACTGTTTGCAACTCTCTCTCCCCTTCACCCAGGAACCTCAGGGCCCCCACCAGCCTGTGGAGGAAGGCGCATTTGTGGGTCGTGTTGCCGCCTCCACTGGACATATGAGGAGATGGAGGCTCTGAAGGGTCCTCATTGGCCCAGGGAGAAACACCAGAACTGTCTTTTGTAATTGCTTGTCGGAGCACAGGCTGCTGGGCAGCGCCCTGCTGCTGGGTGACTGGCAGACAGATTCTCTGGGTGGAGGAAACCGCGTGTTCGCCCTCCCCACACACACATCAGAGGAGGTCCTTCTGCTGCTCCTTTGGGCAGGACAAGGCTATTTGTGGCCCACTGCTGCCCCCCTCATGGCCTCACACCCCGTATTCTAAGGTCTGCAAACTTTTCAACTGCAAACTTCACATTTTAGAGCCTACAAACTACTCTAAGAGTTTGGGTGTGTATGAGAAATTATAGAAGAGTGAATGACTTGCTCAAGGTCCTGGCTGAGACATGGCTGAGTGCCCTGCCTCACAGCTGAGCCCCAAGGACCAAGGGCTTCACATCTCCATGCCAAAAAAACTGCCCCCTTCCAGAAGTGAGGGAAGCACATTTATTGAGTCCTGCTGGTTCCATGGCAGCTAAACTAATCACAAAAATTCCTGCCCCCTCAGAGGAGAGGGCTGACCCAGGTCTCCCTCCTCCTGATCCCTAAGATACTACATGGGGTGCTCCTGGCTGTCACCATGACTGGAGGCCACTCCTGGCATTCGACGGGTAGGCCCAGAGATATCAGACATCTGAAACCCACGACAGTCCTGCACCATGATGAACCATCTCCCTGGGAGCACCCGTGCTGCCTGCCTTGAGAACACCATGCCCTGGGCTCAGACTGGCCACTGCCTCCCATTCCCTGCCCTCTCAGCCTCCACTGACCCCTAGAAGGGTGGGCCTGAGAAAGTGCAGGTCCCCAACTTTTCAAGGCAAGGGCCAGTACTGGGCCGGGACTATTAGGAACCAGGCCACACATCAGGTAGTGAGCTTGAATGTAACGTGCGGGAATCATTCTGAAACCACCCCCATATCCCCCACACCCAGCCTGTGGGTCTTCCACAACACCGCTCCCTGGTGCCCAAAGGCTGGGGACCGCTGAGAAAATGGATAAAGGAGTGCTTAGCCTGGAGCCAGAGGCAGAAATGATGCTTTTTTGAGCAGGAAGGAGAGGCTTCCTGGTGTTGTCCCACCCTTGTTATAGATACTCTTGGCCCAGAGAACAGTCCAGCTGGAGACCTGGCTTGACCACCACCTGCACTGCCGCCTAGCCTTGGACGTCTCAAGTGGGTGAGGTGTGGGCTGGGACTGGCTGCAGCCTTGACCCTCAGGCCGGAAAACAGAGTCAACCTAACTGCTCCGAGCTGCCCTGGGCCACAAGACAGGCTTGTGTTTGGGCTCAAGCCAAGGCCCCAAAGGGTTGCCTGTGGCCTGTACTTCTTTTCTGAGAAAAGAAGGGTTCCCCTGCCCTGTATGTGAGCAGCATGTTTGGTTAATTGGGGAGAAATTTTTTTTCAAGAATCATACATAAGGTTCGATATACCATTTTACAGTTAAAAGTAAGAAACTTTTAGCTTTTCACAGTAGCAGTATCATAGCCAGTAAGGTTTATCTGAGGCACAATTATGGCTAACCGGGAGGGAAAAAAAGTAAGAAACACCATCCAGTTTAGCAGATGAGAAAAGTTCTGGAGGTGGATGGTAGTAATGGCTGCACAAAGTGAACACATGGAAAACGGTAAAATCTTATGGTTTGTATATGTTACTACAGTAGAAAGAAGAAAAGCCGGCTGGCGTGGGTCAGTGGATGGAGCACTGCAGAGAGAGGAGTTGCTGGTTCAATTCCCAGTCGGGGCACATGCCTGGCTTGTGGGCCAGGTCCCCAGTAGGGGGCGCGCCTGATAGGCAACCACATACTAATGTTTCTCTCTCCTTCTCCCTCCCTTCCCTCTAAAAATAAATAAATGAAATCTTTTTTTTAAAGAAAGAGGAAAAAGTAACTCCAAGTGTTAATAAATGCCTTAATAAACATTTTACATTTTTTATGGGGGAAGAGATGAAATCAGAAAAGAGGGAGCAAAGCAGGGGACTGTGACCCCTTATTCTTGGAGTTCATCAAGGCAGAAAGTCCCAGGGCTCCACCCTTGGAGAGGATCTGTCTGCTCTCGCGGCCCCTGGGCTGGAAGCCGGGCCCACCTGAGTGGAGTGTGGCCTGTGCTGCCCACTCGCTGTGTGTCTAAGGACAAAGACGCAGGAGCGCCCCCAGCTCTCCTCTTCCCTGAACACTCTATGACCAACTTCTTAGCGCGAACACGGCTCCCGTTCACCCCGCCTGGGGTCCCAGGAACCGTTCACAGCGCGTCCCAACTTATGCACTGGGAAGGCGACTCAGAGACTGAGCCCGGACTCCCGGGCGAGGCCTGCCGACCTCAGAGCCCGCTCGGCGGCAAGGGCCGCGGCAGGCTCACCCGGGGACCCTTCGAGGGAAGGAACCCGCCCGGGCCGGCAAGGCGAGCCCCAGATACGCCGCGGGCTGGGGCAGCACAAACCCCGCTCCCGCGCTGCGCCGTCCACAGAACCACTAGGCTGTGGGAAGCACACGAGGCTCGTTCGCGGGAGGGGGCGGGGCGGGGGCGGGGCCAGGCCGGCCTCGGCGCCCTTGGCCTTCCTCTCCCCAAACTGCCGCCAGGCGTCATGGCCTCGGAACCGCGCGGGAAGGCGGCGACCCTGGCTCAGCGGCGGCGGCTGCTCAGGTATCGAGACGGCGGCGCGGGCCGCGCGCACGCACGACGCACGCACGTCCTGCGCGGAGCCCGCGGTTCGCAGCCCATGGCCCTGGCGACCACGACCCGCTCTAACTCCCCGGGTCGCGGAGTTTCGGCCCCGCGCCGTGTGTCCGGGCGTCCGCTTCCCCTGCTAGCACCAGCAGCGGCCGTCCCCTTGGCCCGCCCTGCGGCTCGGGAGCCAAGCCCTTCCGCAGCCGCCGCCGACCTCTCCGCGGCCTTTACCCCCGAGAAGGCCCTTGCCTGGCACCTGGGAGGGCCTGGCCTGGCCTGGGCGGGACTCCCTCAGGGACGGAAGTGGAGACGCGGGGTGGGGGTGGGGAGCCGTTTCACTGGCAGCTTCAGAGAACCTCCGCCCTGGACCTGCGCCAGGGGCCCTTGGCGGAGCTCGAGGCAGCCTGTGGCTGGAGCTTGGAGTTGCAGCCGGCTGGACAGCCGCGTAACTCGGCTGGCAAGAACACCTGAGGGCCCGCGCCGGCCACCTGCTGGGGTGCCCCCCTCACTCCCAGCCTTGCAGAAAAACACTGCCTATGGGAGGAGCCCCGATGGTCTCAGCGGCCACCTTTTCCTCCTTTCCAGTCTCACCTGCGGAGTGGGGGCATGGAGGCAGGAGGCAGCACGGTGCCCTGCCAGCCTTTGTCCTTTCCAGAAACCGAAAGGGGGGAGCTGTGATGGGTGGGCTTCTCCCTTTAGGTCTTCAGGCATGGCTGTCCCCTGTTTTGGCCTGTCCCCACAGCTCTTCCTGCAAACTCTTTTTTCCTGAGGATCCTATTAAGATTGTCCGGGGCCAAGGGCAGTACATGTATGATGAACAGGGGGCGGAGTACATCGATTGCATCAACAATGTGGCTCACGGTCAGTACCATCTCGCAGGCTGGCGGGGCAGGAGGGGAGGCCGGGGCTGTGACCTGGTCCAAGGGGCATCCTGAGGTGCAGAGAGGCTGGAGCACTTGGGGAGAACTGAGCAGAGGAGGCCCAGTCTTTCTGGTGTAGCTGTAAACATTTCTGTGCAGGAGTGGTGCTAAACCGGGTATCAGTCAGAGACCCAGGTCCGGGAGTCCAGTTCCACTTGGGACTGACCTGAAGCTCAGAGAGCAGCAGTCAGCCCAGCTGGGACTAGCAATGGGCTCCCCTGGCCAAGTGCTGGGGGTCATGGCAGCTCTCAGCCCCAGTGACCATCTCAGGCACTGGGCAAGAAAACTGAGATAGGAGTTCAGTTATCCAGATGGGGATCTGATGGGGGGAAAGCAGTCTGCCACTCAGCAGGTACCTGGTAGGTTAATAAAGTGGAGGCTAAAAGCAGGCTCTAGTCCCAGTGCGCCTGGGTTCATACCCCTGTCCTTCACTTGTTAACTCTGTAATCTTAAGCAAGTGACTTAATTCTCTGTTCCTCAGTTTGCTCATTTGCAAAATAGGCATGATAATGCAAGGTACCCACCTCAGCATGTTTTGGAGGATTGCATTAACTCACGTAATTTGCTTTGAGTGCTTGGCGCCTGGTGAGCTCCTAGCATGAGCTCCCAGTGAGAGCTCGCAGCGAGAGCTTGCTGATAGCAGCATCTTTGGCCTTTAGCAGTCATTACCTCCAGCCCCTGCTGACTGGGGAGGTGCAACCCCCCCTCCACCAGACACCCCAGCCCCACCAAAGACAAGGGTCTCTAAGTAGGTTTCTGCCAGAGAACTTTTGCTCTGCCGGAACCTTAGGGACTCCTTTCTGGGCCTCCCTTTTCCAGAACAGACATCTGTCTCCCACCTCTGTCTTCGGACCCCCTCTTTCCTACCCACCTCTCCCTCTATAACTGTGTCTCCCCCAGCTGGGCATTCAGATCAGGGATGGGGCGGCCTGGCAGGATCTGTCAGGTGGAGTCAGGTGTATGATGAAGGTGGCCTTCTTCCAGTCGGACACTGCCACCCTCTCGTGGTCCAAGCCGCGCACGAACAGAACCAAATGCTCAACACCAACAGCCGGTACCTGCACGACAACATCGTGGATTTCGCACAGAGGCTGTCCGAGACCCTGCCAGAGTCGCTCTGTGTGTTCTATTTCCTGAATTCTGGGTAAGTGCCCTGCGGCCAGCCCCCCATGCAAGACAAGCAGAGTGGAGCCGACGGGATGTGGACTGGAGAAGAGGCAGCCCTCGCTGGGCGGGTGCCTGTGCTTCCCAGCGGGAGACCCTGGGCTTACTCTGGCGACCCAGTTGCCTGGTCTCTTAGTAAGAGGTGCCATTGCCTCTCTTCCAGGATCATTGGCAGGGCTCACCAAGGTAATGCCTTCCTGTATTTCTGCCTTGGGAGTACCTAGGCACAGTGCTGGGGCTGCGACCAAATCCCTGCTTACTCAGTAAGAAAACCTCAAGTGATTCTTCCAAAAAATGAAACATTATGCGGGTGCAGGTCATTACCTGGAGGAAAAGTGCAGGATCTTCAGAGGCATAGAAGCAGACCTGACCTGCTCTGGAGGGCCAGGGAAGGAGGGACATGAGGCTGAGAGCTGCCCGGGAGACAAGTGTGTTTGGCGAGGTTCCTACCACATGGGGCAGCCTGTGCGGAGGCCCTGCAGCCCAGCCCACCTGAGGAACTGCAGGGCGGCTGATGAGGGAGGGAAGATGTGAGCAGACACTGGGGGGGGATGCAGGGCCCCCTCAGCCAGGGCCTGAGCAGCCAAGGAGAATCTGTTTGTATGCTAAGAGCACCGGAAGTCGTCAGAGGGTTTTGGTTTGACAAATGACGTCATCGGGGCTGGGGGAGAGCTAGAGTGGTCATCACGGGGCGCCATTTCAGCAGCCAGGTGGCAGGCAATGGCAGCTCCCACTGAGGAGTGGCAGTGGGGACAGCAGTGGCAGATGATGACGTGTGCACAGAAGCAGGCCAGCATCCTGGGAGAGAACATTTCAACATGCCGTAGGTTGAGGCACTTAGGTCCTGGTAACTATTATTATCATCATCATTGCTGTTTGTATAGTGCATTTGTCATTCTCTCCTGCATGGTAATTTCTAGGGAACGGAATTTACATCTTCATTTTACAGATAAGGAAACAGCAATTCAAAAAAAAAGGAACTAGCTTTCCCAGGGCCATCCATCCACACCGGATGGGAGCCAGAATGGGGACCTCTCTGGGACGAGTGGGGAGCTGGTCCAGGAGTGGGGACATCCTTGGCAGTGGAGGAAAGGACATTTGCTGGGTTACTCCACCAGATTTACTCTGCGGATTCCAGCGACTTCCGTGTGGCCAAATCCAGTGGGCTCTTTGCTGCCCTTGTCTTGCTGTCTTTCAGTTACCACTCTCTCTAGAAGTGCTCTGGTCTTGCTTGCAGGACACTGCACGCTCCCAGCTTCCCCGAGCTTCTGCCAGCCCTCCTGTCGTCTTTGCCGAGTCCTCTGTTCTGTAGGGCAGGTCCTCCAGGCCCTCTCCCTTCCCAATCTCATCTGTTCCCATGGGATTACATGTCACTGCGTGCCGGTGACTCCCCAGTTTGTGTCTCAAGCCCAGATGCTTCCCGTGTGATCCAGTCTCATGGTTCTACCCCCCAATTGACCTCTGAGGGTTTTTTTAAAGAATTTATTTATTTAAGAGGGGAAAGGAGAGAGAGAGGGAGAGAAACACTGATGAGCTGCCTCTCACACACCCTCAGCCAAGGTCCTGGCCCACAGCCCAGGCTTGCGCCCTGACCAGAAATCAAAGTCGCCACTTTTCAGTTTGCGGTGCGATGCCCAACCCACCGAGCCACACTGCTCAGGGCCCATGTGACTTCTTGAACATCTCCAACTCTGCGTGTTGGAAAGACAGTGAGGAGGTGATTGTCTTCTACTGATGCCTGGGGTGGGACCGTGGCGCTGGCTGTCCTTCGCTTTCCCAGGCACCTACCCCAGACCTTCCCAGGAGGATGTCACCCTCACTGCCACCCCACACTGGTCTCGCTTCATCGATGACAGTACCATCTGCCTCTGTTCAAGGCAGACACCTGCCTCCCAGTCCTACCTCAGCCTGTCTCACCTGTCCCCAGGACGCCTCTGTCCACCTCTGTCCATCTCCATTTATCTCCATGGCTACCACATGCTCTCACTGCATGGCCTTGGTCATGTCCTTGGTCTCCTCACTTCCACTTTTTTTTTTCATTGCATTAGTGTGTTCTTTTTTATTTTATGACTACTGTCGATGGAGGAGGGGCAGCATACTAGAGTTGACAAGCCCAGAGGATTCACTTCCACTTTAATTCCCTTCTACTCCATTAGTCACGGCCAGAGGCTTCCCCCTCAACTCGGAAGCTGGGTCGTGTCTCTGCTGTGATTGAAACTCCTTGGCAGCTTTGCCCAGCCCTAAGAAGAGAATCCGGGCTCCGTCCAAGGCCCCCTGAAGATGGCCCCGCACGTCCCCCCACTGCTGCCCCACTCTGGCCTCCCCGTCCTCCCTCGGTTCCTGAGCACACTGAGCTCTTGTCTGTCCCCAGGCCTGGCACGTGCCACCTGCCGTGCCGGAACCCACCCCCCCCCCCCAGGGAAGCAGTGCAGGCGCTGCCCCCTCACAGAGCCCTGCCCTGACCCCTGGTAGCCAGCTCGGGCTGCCCCAGGGAGGCTTCGGCAGCTGCCGTTCATCTTCTCACAGCCCTGGGGGCCGGGTTCGAGACCAGGGCGTCTGCAGGTTTGGTTTCGTCGCAGGCTCCCCTTGGTTCACAGGTGGCCACCTTGCTGCCTTCACGGGGTCTGTCTGTGCCCACCAGCCCCTGGTGTATCTATGCCTAAATATCTCTTCCTTGTTACAAGGACATCACTGAGGTTGGATGAGGGCCGCCCTAACAGCTCCATGTTAACTTCGTCGCCTCTTTAAGGCCCTGTCTGCACACACAGGTGCATTCTGAGGTGCTGGGAGGTAGAAGTTCAACCTAGGAACTTTGCAGGACACCATTCAGCCCCCTCAACTAAAGCAGGACCCCCTCCGGAGCTCGTAGGGCACTTATCAGCATGATGGTTCTTTCTTTCCTTGGGTTTTGTTGGCTTGACTTTCAGGACACATACCTGTTTTACTATTTTGCCCCCCTGCTCCTAGCGCAAGTCAGGTATTTGGTGAATTTTTATTGAATGACCAATGAATGGGGTCCCGAGAGTGTTATGGCTGCTGGCAGGGCTCCCCCTGCCCTCTGGGCTTCTCTGGAGGAAGCAGGGCGCCAGGAGGGACAGCCCTCGGAGAGCTGGCAGCTGGTGCCCTCCTTTTCCACCACAGGTCGGAGGCCAACGACCTGGCCCTGAGGCTGGCCCGCCAGTACACACGACACTGGGACGTGGTGGTGTTGGAGCAGTAAGTGTCATTCCCAAAGCCTGGGTCTGCCGCCTGGTGGGGGTCAGTGAGGCTCTGGCTTACAGTGCCCTGGGTAGGAAGGACAGGGCTGTGGCTACAGAGACACCCTCCCACACACCAGGGGGGCCTTTACCCGATCTCTGCTAGGAGAGCAGCTTCTGGGGAGCTGAGAAAACTCTGGCAGCGGGGAGGGGGGTTGCTCCCACATTTGAGGCATTGAAGCTGGTCCGACAATGGCTTCTACATATCGATCATGTGCCTCGCAAGGCCCAGGGTCGGAGCCTTAGCGCATGGACGGCTCATTACAACCCTGAAGAAAAACCCCACTTTGAGAGGAGAGGACTGGCCCCAGGGAGCCTAGCTAATTACCCCTGTTATGCAGCGAGTAAGCAGCCTCCCCGGAGGTCTTACAGACTCCAAGGTCTGTGCTTGTCCTCGGCCGGAGGACCCAAGGCTGTGTCAGAAAGGTGTATCTCCTGGGGAGGGCAAATGGTTGTCAAGGCCAGGCCAGAGTGCAGGCTGCCCGGACCTGAGCCCGCCCCCCCTCTCCTCCCCAGTGCTTACCATGGCCACCTGAGCTCCCTGATCGACATCAGCCCGTACAAATTCCGGGACCTGGATGGCCAGAAGGAGTGGGTTCACGTGGTACGCATGGCCCAAGAGGGTGACAGGTCGGTGCCCGCACCCAGCCTGGGTGACACAGCACTGTCACTCCCCACAGGCACCTCTCCCAGACACCTACCGGGGCCTCTACCGCGAGGACCACCCCAATCCAGCTGAGGCCTATGCCAGAGAGGTGAAACGTGTGGTCAGCAGTGCACAGGCGCAGGGCAGGCAGGTAACCACATCTGTGCCGGTCCAGTCCTGCCAAGGGCAAACGCCGCTCCCCCATTGCCAGCTGGTGCTAGGTATTGGAGCCCTGACAGACTCAGGACCAGGGGTGTGTCTGGGTGTCACAGGAGCCCCGGGGTCTAAGCCGCATCCGTGTGGGTGTGAAGGAGGGTCTTTGGAGGTGCTGCCTGACCTCAGTGATGGAAGGTGAGTAGGAGTTAGCCAGTTGAGGTGGGCTCGGGGGCAGAAGAGGGAAGGCACCCTGAACAGCCTGCGTCGAGGTGAGGAACCACTTGAGTGTGGGGCCAGGCTGAGCGGGCACGAGGCAGGCCTGGAGAGGGGCGACCCGGTGCTGGAAGCCCGCAGGTGCGGACCGCGGGGCTGGAGGCCATGGCTGACCTTGCAGGGATTTTAAGAGGGAGGGTAATAAGACCAGGGAGCGCTTGAATGGGGCCAGCCCAAGGGCGCGTAAGCAAGGAGGGGCCCAGGCCAGGCCAGTGTCGTGGAGGCAGAGAGGGTGGAGACGGTGCAGACTGCTGCACCCTGGAAGACCAGCAGCCTTGGTGACCTTGAGAGGGAGAGGAGACCTCGCTGGAGTGACGGCACACAGGACAGAGACCGGCAGGCCACAAGGCCCAAACGGGTGGCAGAGCCAGACCTGGGGGGCCTGGCCCACGTGTTTCTGATGCTCTGTACCCATATGTATAAAGCCAGGAAAGCAGCTGTTCCAGTGGCAGCTGGGTAGGGGACTGGTTTGCCACCTCACCGGCCTTTTCCCTCATCCCACAGTTGCCTCTGAAGCAACTCCACAGCAGAACACAGTTTGGGAGTCAGTGCTGGGAGCAGAAGGGGTCACAGAGGGTTTTAAACACGACAAGCTTAGTGCCAGGTGTGAGGCACGTCCTGGTAGCCAGTGGACAGCAGGGAGAGGCATCCAGTCTAAAGACCCCTGCGGCCCGCACCTGCAGGGGGCAGGGCGGCAACTGGCAGACGACCCAGTGGTGGGAGGGAGTGGGTGCAGGGGTGGCACGGAAGGACGAGGGCTGCGCTGACTGGTGGAGGAGGGGCTGGGTCGGGGAAGGGGGCCACATTTCTGTTCTCGTCGGAGGCCTGGGGGCGGGGCGGGGATGAGCGCATTTTGTCTGGAGCCTGCCAAGTACAGGAGTCTGGGGCTTCTAGGCAGTTGGACTGAGCCCTGAAAGAAAGCTGAGTCACCCTCAGATGGGATGTGGTGAGTGAACTGGGGACACGGCAATGACAGTAACTTGCTCTGTTTGAAGCTAGCATTAGCAGAACTGTCTCCGATTGCCCCTCAGCACCTGCACCTCCGTGTCCCCGTGTCCCCTGTTGTCCACAGATTGCTGCCTTCTTTGCCGAGTCGCTGCCCAGTGTTGGGGGGCAGATCGTTCCCCCTGCCGGCTACTTCCCGGAAGTGGCGAAGTGAGTAGGTTCGAGGGGCAGCCTGGGAGGGCAGGCCTGTAAGGGGTTTCCCAACCTCTGTTCCACATCCCAACCTCAGCCTCACCTGCTCGCCAGATTTTTCAGAGCCCCTGAACAAATAGTGGCACCTAGAAGGCCAGCCATCTGCCTAGGGCCTCAACCTTACCATAGGCAGAGCCAGGGTTCAGTCCCAAGGCCTCCCTGCTCCTGCCCTGACCCCTCTGGCCACAGCCCCGCCCATCAGCCCTCTGTCCTCTGCGCAGGCACATCCACAGGGCCGGAGGGGTCTTTGTCGCAGACGAGATTCAAGTGGGCTTTGGCCGCGTAGGCAAGCACTTCTGGGCCTTCCAGCTGCAGGGGGAAGACTTTGTCCCCGACATTGTCACCATGGGCAAGTCCATTGGCAATGGCCACCCCGTAGCCTGTGTGGCCACAACCCAGGCTGTGGCGAGGGCATTCGAAGCCACCGGGGTCGAGTACTTCAATACGGTGAGTGGAGGCTCCAGGGCCAGGGAGGACTGAGGGTCTGGAAGGGCCCTGGCAACCCACTTGTTATTAATGGGCAAAGGCCAGGGACTTGGTGCTGTTCCCCACGAGGACACTGCCTGGGGTGCTGTCAGAGCAGTGGGAGCCCAGGGAGAGTTACAGCAAGTCAGAGGAAAAACATAAACCCCCTTTAAAATTTGCATCAAGCTAAAAGCCATGGCAAAATACGCTTATGAAATATGTAAAAGGACAAGAGGCCCCCTTCCTTCCAGCACAAGCTGCCTACTGTGTGCAAGGCCTTGGGCTAAGAGCTGAGTGAGGTACCAGACGAGCACCCACCTGGGTGGTGTGTCCTAGAGTCAGAGTCCACCCTGCCCTTGGACCTGGAAGAGGGCATGGCTCCCCGACTGCGCTGCAGGGTGGAGAGCTTCCTCCAGTAAAGTGTGTCCTGGGGTGCCCAGAACACAGTTGTGTGGTGGGCAAGGGGGCATGGTGGCCACCAGGCGGCCTCGTGGTAAAGATCCAAGGCGCCTGAACTGCTCTTCAGGACGCTGAGGAGCCAGGGCAGTGCTTCACCTAGGAGAGGCATGGTCTGAAATACACTGCAGGGGCCTCACACTCATTTTCTCCTGGGGCCGCATTCAGCCTCGAGGTTGCCTTCAAAGAGCCGAACGTAACTTGAGGACTGTAAATGTAACTCCTTCACAGTTAAGTGAGAGCTGGGCACTGCTGCTGGGTAGAAATGAGCTGCTGGGCCAGATAAAACAAGGTCAGCCTCAGGCCTGTGTTTGCCACCTGTGCTTTAGAAGGACCTCTGTGGTCCGTGTGGAGAAAGACGGGAGGTCGGCCACTGGTCCAGGCGGGAGAGGAGGAGCCCAGATCTGGGCACAGGCCATGGGGGAGAATTCACTGACCTCCCAGGAAAGAGGCAGTTTGAACTGAGGCCTGCCGGCTGCCAGGGTTTGGCAGGATGGCCGGGCCTTGGCAGAGGTCTTTGAGGGTGAAGGCTGGTGCTCTCAACAAGCTGTCACTCTGTGCCCCGCTCACCTGTACACAGAGCCTCTGCCCTGGACAAATTCACTGCTCAGGGTGGGGGTCAGGGGAGGACAGGCTCCTAGACCCTCTGATCACTTGGAAGTAGTGTATTCACAGTGCACTGGGGACACAGCGTGGGGACAGAGAAAGGGAGCAAGGGACGCTTCGTGCAGACACGGGAGGATGAAGAGGAAGCAGCGAGTTGTGTTGTGTTGTGTTGTGTTGTGTTGTGTGATAGCGCCCGCTGGAGCCTGAGCCCGAGCCCGGGTTTGTCGGTCTTGCTGAAGCCCACACAGAATAGGTCATCAGTCCCCTGACAGGGGACTTTCATGCACAGCTCACCACCTGTTCCCACACCACCCTCTTTCGGTTCATCAGCTTGACCCCTGATACAGGCCGATGTCCCAAACAAAAGTGAGGACCTCAACCAGAGCCCATGTCCTGTCCCTCCACCCAGTCTTCACTCACGTCCCATGCCCAGCAGTCACTCTCATTTTGTAGCTTCGTGAGGAGTGTGTCCCGCTGTGTCTGGTCTCTAGGGACTCATTTACCCAACACTACATTCCTGAGAGTTACACTGCTTGTCCCTGAAGTTCGTTTGCTATGACTGCGCCATAACGATGTCCCTTTGTGCAAACTGCTGGGGTTTATTGTGCTTCACAGTCATCCCCGCCGTTGTTGCTGTTAGGAACAGTGCCGCTGTGAACCGTTCTGAAAGTCTTGTCCTGCACAGGCGAGAGTTCCCAGGGCAGCCCAAGAGCCTCCGGAGGTGCTGGGTCACTGTTCACCTCCATTCTGAGGCAGTGACATCTGGTTCCAAAGTAGGCCACAAGGTAGCGCCCCACCCACAGGTGAGAGCGATTCCGTAGGCCGGCGCCCTCTTCAGTTGTGCCAGGCACGTGGGACATGAAGGCACATTTGCAGGAATGTTCTCGATTCAACACTCCTTGATTCCAAGTCAGGTGAAGCATCTCTTCCTAGGTTTATTGGCCGTGCGTTTCCTCTTCTCTGAAGCACCTGCTTTTTCTTCTGCCCATGTTTTCATTGACTTACTAGTGCTTTCCTTTTGTGGGTTCTGGGGGGGTGACTGCACGTGTGTGTGTGCCCGTATGCGTGATTTTGATGTTTTATTTTTGTATGTTCATTCAGAATCAAATCGTTATTTTTAAATTTAGGTATAATTAGCATAACATGTTAGTTTCAGGTATACAACATAATGATTCAATATTTGTGTATTTTATAAAATGATCATCACAATTACTTAACATACATTGCTGTAGTTATAAATTGCTTTTCTTGTGATGAGGACTTTTAAGATGTGCTCTCTTAGAGACTGAAAATACGATAGAGACCCTAGTCAGCTAGCTCAGTTGGTTAGAGCATCATCCTGATATGCCAAGGTTGTGGGTTCGATCCCCAGCCAGGGCACATCAAGAATCAACCAATGAATACATAAGTAAAACAACATATACATGTTTCTGTCTCTCCCCGCCTTCTCTCTCTCTCAAATCAATAAATAAAAGCAGTCAAATAAAAAATGAAACACATTAGCCCTGGCTGGTGTAGCTCAGTGGATTTGCACAGGCCTGTGAAGCAAAGGGTCACCAGTTTGATTCCCAGTCAGGGTTGCAGGCTAGGTCCCCAGTGGGGGACACATGAGAGGCAACCACACACTGATGTTTCTCTCCCACTCTTTCTCCTTCCCTTCCCCTCTCGCTAAAAATACATAAAAATGTTTTTAAAAGACAGCACAAAGTAAAAAGCTAGAGAACATTTTTTAAAAATTGAAACACATTACAGTATTATTAACAATCATCACCATGCTGTACATTATTATATCCCCGGGACATAATTTTAACAAAGTTTGTACCTTTTGGCCATCTTCACCCATTTTGCCCACCCCCACCTCTGGCAACCACCAATCTGTGCTCTGTGTCTAAGAGTGCAACTTTTTGTTTCGGTGGGGATTTTTAGATTGCACATAGAAGTGACATTATAAGGTGTTTTTCTTTCCCTGTCTGATTTATTTCACGTAGCACAGTGCCCTCAAGGTATGAAAGTATGTCGTTGCAAATGGAATGATTTCCTTTTTACAGCTGAATACTTACATATATTTATATAAATACATACCACCGCTTTATCCACTCACCCACCCATCGATGGACACTTAGGGTGCCTGCCCCCAGGTCTTGGCTATTGTAACGCTTCGGTGAATGTGGCCTGCGAGTACCTCTGAGATGCTGGCATCATTCCCTTCATATAAATACTGAGAAGTCGAACTGCTGGGTGGTATCACGATTCCATTTTTAATTTTTTGAGGTACCTCCACACTGCTCTCCGTAGTGGAAAATTTACATCCCCACCAACTGTGCACAGAGGCTCCTCTCCGCACCCTCACCTGCGGGCCTTGCTTCTCGTCTTCTGATGGTGGCCGTCCCAGTGGTGTGCGGTGGCCTCTCACTGCAGCTTCAATTCACACTGCCCTGACGACTAGGGAGACTGAGCAGCAGCTTTGTGTGTCTGTTGGCTGTGTGTCTTCTGCGAAAAACTGTCTATTCAGATCCCTTGCCAGTTTTTTGAACCATATTCTTTGGGAGTTTGTGCTATGGAGTTATGTAAATTCTTTATATATTTTGGACATTATCTCCTTATCAAATAATGACTTACAAATATTTTTCCCACTTGGTTGATTGGCTTTTCATTTCATTACCGGTTTCCTTTTCTGAGCAGCTTTTTAGTTGGATGTGGTCCCACTAGTTCATTTTTATCTTTGTTGCCTTTGCTTCTGACATCAAATCTAAAAAGCCAAGACCCATCGAGGAGCTCACCAGCTGCGTGTTCTTGTAGGAGTTTTAGTCGGGTCTGATGTGCCAGCGTTCCAGGTGATTTTGTGTGTCCGGGTTCACTCCTGTCTCTCTTTTGCATGTGGCTGTCCAATTTCCCAGGAATTGGATCTTTTTTCAGATGGAATAATCATTTTCCATTCCTAATCGTGTGGTTCTTCAATTTTATCTGGTATTATAAAGCAACTCCAGCTTTCTTTTGGCAAGTGTTTTTCCACCCTTCCACTTTCAACCTAAGTTGTGCTCACCGTGTGGTGTTTTTTACCCCGCGTATACCTAAAACATGGCTTTTTGTTCAAATCTGTTAATATTTTATTTTAAAGTGATGACTTTAGACAACATAACTATTGCTATATTTAAGCCTGTTGCTAACATTAATTTATAACAAGTTTAATATATATTTTGTAGCTCATCTTTTCTACTTTTAACTATCTGTATTAAAAATATTTCATCCCAAATTATTTTCAGTGCAAGCCTTTCTGTTGCAAACCTTCTGAGGTCTTGTATGCCTAAGAATATTTTTATCAGACCCTCTTATTTAAATGTTTTCGCTAAATATAAAATCTAGGTCCTGGTTATTTTCCTTCAGTGCTTTAAAGCTCTGTCCATTTCCACCCAGCGTGCAGTGCTGCTGTTGGGAAAGCTAAAGTCACCGATTCTGTCTTCGTCGAGACGGAATCCACACACTGTAAAGCTGCACATGCATCTAGGTCAACATCTTTGCGATGCCAGCAGTTACCCTCGACCACCCTCAAAAGAGCATCTGCCTTATTTTTCAGACTATGAGACGTACTTTTCTCCTCCACCTCCGCCCCAACTTGGGAGAATAGTTGTTAATGCTGCTGTTGAGTTCTGCTTACATTTACATTGGTGAAATCATTATTTGTTATTAAACTTTACCACATTTTTTGCTTTCAAAATTTTTTTCCCCTATTTTCCTCCTCTAAAACCTAGGTGTGTCCTATGGTCTGAAAAATACAGTGATCAGTCCCATAACCCAATCCCCACCTTGCTTTCTACCACCTTCATGTAGTACAAATCACCACCAAAACCCAACCACCACCTTCCTTCCTTATGTTTCTTCCTTTTAATTTCAAATGCATGGAAGAAACTGCAGTGCTTACCTGGCAGGGGAGACAGAATGTTGCAAAGGCAGTTTTCCCAGGCAAGGCTCCTGCTGGACTCTGGATGACTGATCCCTGCCATTTCCCCAGATGTGGGGAACGCAGTGCATTCATGTGGGGGGGGGACTGCATTTGTGCTCCCTGGGAAAACTGTAAAACTCATTCTCTGGGGTACTGAAGATGTTGCTTCCTGTCCATTGTCATCAGTTTTGGCTCAGATAAAGTCTTATAAAAATTCTCTGAGTTTGGACATTTCCTTATGTTGACACTGTGTGTTTCAGTTTTTGCTGAAAACTGGACATTTTAAATAATGTGGCAACTTTGGAAATCATTTGCCCTCCTCATGGTTTGTTGCTTTTTCTTTGCTTAGTGCCTTTTTTGAAGGAACTCTTGTCATTTTTGTGTGTTTTGTCATGCACAGGCACTGGAGTCTCTGCTTGGTTAGCTTAGTGACCATGTAACGGTTGGGCAGACATCTTAAATGCCTGGGACCAAGTCTCTCAGCCTTGGACAAGAGTTGGTGTGTGGGGGCACGTGGTATGGTATGCTTCAACACTCAGCCAAGCATTTTGCAAGTGTTAGCGTTTACTCCTCCTCCTTCAGAGCCTCAAGGTAGCCAGTGGTGAGTTTAGAGCTTTCTAGGTCTTCCCTGAACGTGAACTTAGCTTTGAGCATAATCCTTACATATATCCACAGCCTTTTAGATTTCCAGGACTATGTCCAAGTGTTTGTTCATTTTCTTTCTGTTGTCCCTCCAGGGTGACAATGGTGGAAAGACCTCTTAATTGTGCTAAGTCACGATTCTAAACCAAAGATGCCCTGCCTTCTAACGAGCTCATGGTAATATGCAGTCAGCAGCCTCAACGCATCCTGTGTCCATTCCACACACAATTTGTTCTGGACATGCCATTGTGAGCTTGAGCACCAGGCTCTGCACGCGCATCTTCAGGATGGTCTACACACTACCACTACATACCCATTAGCATGGCCGCAGCTAAAGAGACTTTAACATACCAGATATTTTTTAAGGATGTAGAACTACTGGAATTTCATAAGACTAATGGTGAGAAAGTAGTGGCACCACTACTTTGGAAAAGCTTGTTTCTATAAGTGTATGTTTATCATATAATCCAGCACTTTCACTCCTAGGTATTTAACCAAGAGAAATGAGAACATACGTTTAGAGACTTGTTATAAGTTAGTTTTATTCTTAATAGCCAAAAATCAAAATAACCCAAGGGTTCATCAACAGGAGACTGGACAAACTGTGGTATGTCCATACAGTGGAGTATTATTATGCAACCACAAAATGAGCAAACTACTGATATATACAACGTGGATAAATTTCAAACATGTTGAGCAGAAGTGAGGCACAGAGGAGTACATATTCTGTGACTCCATTCATGACATTCTGGAAAAGGCAAAACTGTAGTCAGAAAGCAGGTCAGTGGCTGCCTGAGCCAGCAGCGGAGAGCACGAGAAATTCTGGGGAGTGATGGAAATGTTTGTGTCCTCGCTGTGTTGGAGGTTCTAGTTTTACACTTGTTGAATCATTTTGAACTACAGTCGTGAACCATGTACTGTTTTGGTTAACAGACTACATTGTTAACGTAAGAACCTGTAGAGAATTTTGAATTTTTATAAAAAGTTATTTGAGCCAGAGTTATGTGTCTAACCACAATGCTGTACACCTGAAACTAATACACTTAATGTCAACTGTAATTGAGAAATAAAAAAATTAAAGGAAAAAATTATTTGAGCCAAATATAGGATATCTCTGGAAGCAAGATCTCAACAGAGGAAAATGGTTCTAAGAATAGCATTTTACATCTTCCTTTATGCATCTGGAATTAAGGAGGGAACTAAGGAGCATTTCATGAAGGTGGGAGAAAGCAAGGTGGGGACTGGCTTACAGGATAGTGCTTTCCAACAAGTTACATGCTTTCTTGAGAGTGGTTTACTTCAAAAGCGAGTTAAACTAGATGCACAGAAAGTGGGCAGAGCTGGCTCAAAGCAAAGGTAAACCTTCAACTACACTAAAGTTACAGGCCTAAAAAAACAAGTTACTAGGCCTGGGGCGTGACACGCCCAGTTAGGAATTTACGATCAGGTCACCATGAGGTGACTTGTCCATGGGACCCATTTTGTGTCTATAGCATACAGTATGGTGGTCCCGCAAGATTACGAAGCTGCAAAATGCCTACTGTCCAGTGTGATGTCACAGCAGTGCTAACAAACCTACTACACAAATTCTGAAAGTTGCATTACCACTGCCTACCATAGTCCAGTAGTGCCAGCTTTGTAGTTCAGGGGCTACAGCAGAACAGAATTTATCCTCCCAAAATATATTTCTTTGGTGTACGGATTATTTTAGGCCGGTTAATTTTAAGAAGCAGATTTGGGGAAAAGCTCTGAAAACCAGGTAGAAGTGATCCACTTGTAAGCCACCTTTATAAGGGAAATCTCCCTTTGTAGGGTGTCTTCCCTCTGTACCAAGAGGGCGGCCTTACCTTTAGAAACTCGTATCAATGCAGAAGGAACTTCAGTCTGCCTCACAGCCTTGCTCACCTCTGCTGTGCTCCTCCAGGTCACCTCCAGTAACTGGCCCCTGCCCCCACCCCATCCTCTTTTGTCTTCAACTAGAGATGGTATTTAAGGTGGTGGCCTCGGTCATTTTGGTGACTTACTCAGTTTTCCTTGGTCTCTCCTATGTGTACAGGAGGTATACATGTTGTTCAATTGTTGTTTGTTCACCTGTTAAAATGTCTTTTATCACAGGGATGTTTCAACCAATTCTTTTTCCTTCCCTATGAGCTACAGGCTATACCATGTGTTTGTATTAAGTACACTCTATGACATTCATTCAAATCACCACATGTATCCATGTCCTTAAGTGGTGGATGACTATGCACTTTGAATATATGCAGTCTACATTATGTAAACTGTACCTCAATAAGGTCTTTTTTTCAGTTTAAGGAAAAGGTCATCCAACACAAAGCAAAAAGGAAAAACAGTCTGCAGGAAAAACACTTGTTTTTGCTCTCTCCAGTCCCCACTCAGACCACCTGCAGGGCCAGGTGGAGGAAGTGAACCCAAGTACCCAAAGTACCTGAAGGAACAGCCAATACCAAGGTAGCCAGATAGGCCAGGTGCAAGTCAAAAATTTTTGTGTTGTCTTACAGTATTCATACCCAATTCAAAACTTTTCATAATGCCACACAAAGTGAAACAAAATACATCTTCAGGCCACCCATGGCTCACACTCAGTCAGCTGTAGTCTGTGCCCTCAAATCTGTCCTGGGTTCACCCAGCAGACCCATGGGCTCAGAAGCTTCCTGGGTGGCTCTGGCACAGGGTTCTCAGCCCTCCTTAGAAGTGACCGACACTGGCCCAATGCTATGGGTCTGGGCCCAGCCTGTGAGATGGGACCCTTAATGCCTCTGGACCCAAACCAACTCGGTGGGCATGCCCACGCCATTTGTTTCCTCTGGCTCTGCAGCTTCTCAGGGCTCCCACTGCACCCTGGGAGTACTCGCTCTGGGTGAGTCACATTAGCACCTGGAGAGGTGGGACAGCCCACAGGGCCCCCAGAAGAACCCCATTTACTGTTGAAGCCTGTGCTATCACTTGCCCTGGAGTGTGGGCAGTTCCGGTGCCCTCATCCTCCCTGGGCATGGCTCACTCTGCTGGACATCTTACATGCCCTTTGCCCCCGGCTCAGTTTGGGGGCAGCCCAGTGTCCTGTGCAGTGGGGCTGGCCGTCCTGGATGTCTTGGAGAAGGAGCAGCTGCAAGCTCACGCTGCCCATGTGGGCAGCTTCCTGATGGAGCTTCTGAGGCAGCAAAAAGCCAAACACCCCATCATCGGGGACATCAGGTAAGGCTCGGGGTAGCAGTCACTGCCCACTAACCAAGCATCCGCCCGAGGCCTGGAGTCACTCCTCTCACCTCCTGACCACCCGGGATGGTGGGAGTTTTGCTCTCCACTGGTGTTGGACTAAAGCACTGAGAGTGGCTGTCACCCAAAATGGCACTTTTAGGAGGGGAAAAAAGCCGGAATCAAGTAACTCTGGCCCCCAGCCTTTCCTCTGTCCATGGCAAGGGCCCTTCCCTATTGCAGTCACTTCCTAGAATTGTGTCTCTGTCTCCCTCTCTCACGCACACACACGCACACACACACCACCACGTTTCCTGTGGCCCTGTCTCCCCAGGAGGCAGAGGTACAAGCCCCAGTGGACTTTCTGATGGGGTTTGGCTGAGACCCAGGCAGAGGGCAAGGGCAAGGCCCATGGTACCCTCAGGCCTGGCCTCCTGAGATGTCGCCTTCTGCTCCAGGGGCGTCGGGCTCTTCATTGGTGTGGATCTGATCAAAGATGAGGCCACAAGGACACCAGCCACCAAAGAGGCTGACTACTTGGTGTCCAGGTACTTTTTCTTCAAACAAGTTGCCTTTGCAGTGTGTAGGGCCCTGACCGACAAAGGAGCCTGCCTCTTGCCTCTCCTTCCATCCACTGTGTTCCAGGGCACTCTGGACCTCTGAAGGGGGAAGGGGAGGCCAGTCCGTGCATCCCCTTGACTGAGGTCTGCAGACAGAGAAAGCGGCCCGGTCAGCTCTGTGCCCTGTGCCCGGCAGCCAATGTTTCAGATGGGAGTGGGCCACTGCCAGTCTGAGCACCCGGCTCTCCCAAGATGCCAGAGCTGCCCAGGCTCAGACCCTGGCTGCCCCCAGGGAAGCAGCTTCTCCAGGGCTGTGCCAGGTACCCGGGAGACAGGACTCCTGCCCATTGGGCTGGGTGGGTGGATGGAGCAGCACCTCCAGACTCAGAAGCCGCCCCACCCAACCCAGTTCACACTTCTTCCCCTTGAACCCAAGCAGGACCCCAGCCTTAAGACCCTTCCCCCTTGATCTCCATTTCTCACTACCACCACCTCAGAAAACCCTTGGGAAATATGTGTCATTGTTCGGTATTCACATAAACAGTACAAGTTTCTGTGTAATCTTCCTTTCCATGAGGTTTTTGGACTCACACCTCCTAAGCAACCATCCAGTCTCTGCCTACTCACTGATGGTCGGCCATATCTGCCCATTCACCCCACCCCACCCCCAGACTCAGAAATCCGCTGGCAGGAGGCGGGGAGTTAGATCGAAGGCCTAGCCTGACTTCACACAGCTACCCTGGTACTTTCTCTAGTTCAGTGAGGAAACGGGCCAATGACGGGTGTCTCACTTGCACACACCCTACCCTGCTAGTGGGTAGCAGACCTCAATTCCAAGTCCCGACCTTGCTCTTCCTAGCACAGCCATTGTGCCAGGGAGAACAGAATGGGAGAAAAGCAAGATGACAGACTAAAGGACAACATGGTTCAAAATAACAAAAAGAGTGGGGGTTGAATATAAAGACAATCACATCAGACCTCTTCTCTCAGGGACAAAATACCTTCCTAAGTTTTAAGTATTAAATGTGGAATACTAAAAATGATTCTTAGGTTCCAACAATAATATTAGGGTAAAGTCGCTCTAAAAAGAACTGGAAATAAGGACAGTGCTGTCTGGGATTGCAAGACTGTGTGCAGAGCAGGGAAGTTACTGAGGCCAGGTGGGGGTACATGGCATTCATTAGACTACTCTGTAATACTGCTGGACATTCCCGCCCACCTAAAGTAAGCCACATGTCATATAAACCACATATAAAATGAAACCACACTGTAGCCCTGGGACTAGCCTTAGCTTAGCTGAGACAGACTCCAGGAATAGGTGAGATGAGGCCCCTGCTCTTGAGAGCAGTGGGGTCAGGTGGAAGGAACCCCAGGCAGGCCTTCAAAGCCAGGGCACCATGGATGGGCATGAGTTTTGCAGGGGGTGTCCTGGGGGGAGGGGGGGTCCTGGCATGTGGAGGGTTCCAAGGGTATTATCACTTGATTCTTGGCCAGGAGGCCAAAGCCAGGCTGAGGAAAGCCTTGGAGGCCACATAAAGGGCCCTGCTGTGTCCTGTCCTACAGGCTGAAGGAGAGTCACATTCTGCTCAGCACTGATGGCCCCGGGAGGAACGTCCTGAAGTTTAAGCCCCCAATGTGCTTCAGCCTGGACAATGTACAACATGTGGTAGCAAAGCTGGATGCCATCCTAACAGGTGAGCCTGAAGCCCAAGGGACAGTGGACCACATCCCTAAACTAGAGCCAACAATTAGAACCTTCCAGCATGACCAGGGAGGTGCTCCGTGGCTGGGCCGGACGTCCTCTAGACAATGCAGGGAGCAAGGAGCTAAGTGGAAAGGAGTGCTACTGGTCCAGGCCTCCCCTACCTGGGCAGGTGGGAGCTGGGCCACCCTCCATCTGGCCGAGTAGGCTCCACTGTGAGATGGGAGACAAGGGACACCAAAGCTTGGGCTCATGAGCCCAGCCATCAGAACTACACCTAATTCAAGTGGCCTGAAAACCGCTGTGAAATGTAAATAAACAGCAGGAACTTTGTTTTACTTGAGCTAAGGGTCACCAACAGCTAGTGTGGCTGAAATGGCTGAAATCTGCATGCAGGCTGAACACAAATGTATTCCACCCCACATACCTAGTCTACCCTGAATCCACTTGCAAGACCTCAACAAATCAAGACATGCCTGTGCACATAGTGTTCTGTGGGGTGGCCCACAGTAGGCAAAGTCCCTTCTCCCACCTGGGCTGTTTCACTGCTGTCCCCAGGGAATATGAGCTACGGGCCACTCTTACCGCAGACAACTGCAGGCAGTATAAGACCTGGGTGAGGTGGGACACAGAACTGAGTTAGGTGTCCTATACAGAGGAGCCTCCAGTCGAATCTGGAAGTCTCGGGTTGGGGTTTTCCTTTGGGGAAACTGGTGCTGACCCGGCAGCTGGTGGCACGCACACACGCAAATTAAGGGCATGGGTCAGGGGCCTGTATGGTGGGCCATTCTCCAAACTGCCATCCAATAAGCTTACGACACTGAAGGGAGCAGGGCCTTCAGCAGAAAAGTTAACCATTTTGGGTGCCTGGGGGTTGTTTTTCAGACATGGAAGAAAAGGTGAGAAGTTGTGAGACACTGAGGCCCCAGCCCTGTGGCAGTCCTGCCGAGCCATGTCCTTCTCTAGGTGAGTGGGTCGTAGCTGGGCTCCTGACATGCTCCTCAGAGGCCGAGCTTCAGCTCTTTCTTTCTAGGCGTGAGGGGAGACCAAACTCCCTTTACAGGGCTCTGTCCACCTGGAACCCCCACCACCTCTCGCCACCAGACTTGAGGTCTGCCAACCAGGAGGAGGTACCTTTGAATGTAGGTTCACTGTCCTGCTTGAAGACAGAACCCCATTTCCATCGCTAAGTTAAGCTAGGTCTTCCCAGGTGCCCCAGAATCACTTGTCCTGGGAGTAGTAATGTCCCTGAAACAGCACAATCCTCACCTCCATGAGAAGTTGCCTTAAACCTCTAAGACATTTCCTAACTTTATTTAAAAGGGCCCAAGTCCGACGGAGGGCCCAGTCATTACAGGAAACTGAGTGAGGATGTGGAGAGCTGGTGGCTGTGCCTGACAACATGCTGCTGCTGGTCACGAAAGATAATGGAGCTCAGAAAGCTTGGGAACACGTGGCCCTGTCCTCGCTCACCGCGTATCCCACACTCACCCAGGCTCGGGGGTTTTTACATTTTTATTTCAAAAGCTTGGATAGCTTCAATATCCAGGTCGTGGCAAAATCAGGACACGTGTAAAATACCTTACAATACATTAGATTCCCAAAAGGTACCAAAAAGTACAGTAAAATTAACACTTCCAATACAGGAAATGTATGACACAAATAATATAAAATTAAAAGGTGAAAAAAGGTGACACTGGTTTCCTAAGATAGACCTCTTTACAACCAGGGTCTACAGGTCCAGGCTGCAGAGCAGCAGCCGGAAACAGACCCTCCCACCTGGTTCAAGGTAAGCCGGTCATACAATCAGCCCACAATGCCGCTCTGGTCTCTGAGACATCACACGCTGCCTAAAACAACTAGAGCTCTGGAAATAGTCAACAGGAAAGTGATTTCCAGGGGGGAAATTTTAAATAAGATGCACATGGAACAAGCCATAGAAAGTATGCCAAGTTAAATTTGGTACATAATTGTTTGTGTTCACTCAATACCCAAACAAAGCATGTGCGGTCAGTCGGGCACTCCTGCCGAAGCCTCAGTATGGCTTGTAGTTATTCTGATGGCCACCGCGTCGCTGGCTCTTCCCGTAATTCGTACTACCCTGGCCTAGGGACAAGAATAACAATGATAGCAGCTAGATTTATTGAACGTTTACCCCTGTGCCAGGCGCTCGGCTCAAATCCTCACCAGGGCCAACACCCCTGGGGCAGGCCACAAAGCCCAGCCCGTCTGACTCCAAAAGCCCCTGCTGCCACTGGCCCCTGCACTGTCTGTCCTGCCTCCCAGGTGGGGCTTCCCTCTCTCCTACTTACTGTAGTCGTAGCCGGGGCCGTAGCCGTAATAGCCATAGGGCGAGTAGTCGTAGCCGCCATAGCCGGGCCCGTAGCCCTGCTGGTAGCCGTAGCCCTGGTTCCAGTAGTTGCCGTAGCCCTGATTCCAACTCTGACTCTGACCTGTGGGGGGAGCAGGGCACAGGGGCCCATGGACCATTTAGCACATGCAGGAGCTAGGATAAAGGAAATCCTGCCCTGTGGGTAGCAGGGTTACTATGGCAGCTCGGAAATAGAAGCCAAGGGGCTGCTGTCCTGGTATACAGGGCCCTGCACTTGAGACCCAAGCTGTAAAGAGCTGAAGGGCAGGACAGAACTGAACACTAACTTCACTCAGGGCCAGAGAGATAGGAGCTCACTCTCACTCAAATCACCTTCTCATCACCCCCACCCTCCCTGGCAGCTTGGTGTTAAAAGTTCAGACTTTGGAGCCAGAGGGGCCTGGATGGGAAAGGAGATGAAGCGCCTGGCACAGCCCTGCCCTACCTTATATGCCCACCCACCCATGGGTGGACCTTGACTCAGGACAGCCACAGAGCCCATCAGGCCCTTCACCCCTGGGTGAAGCAAATGACCCTGATGCCCTGAGGCACCAGGTCGCGTGCAAAGTATGGGCTCTTCTCTTCTCCTCCAACTAGCAGCAGCACACCCTGGACACCCAGGATGGCCATTCCTGTCCCTGCCCACCCTGCCACACCAGAGGCCAGGCACGGAAGCTCCATGCAGGCAGAGCGCCCAGACCCATGTGCATCCAGCTTCCACTTACCTCCACCTCCACCGCCACCACTTCGGCTCGCTCGGCTGCGGTTTCCACCACGGCCAGAGCCTTGCTGCTGCTGATAGAGCTTTCTGGGCAGAGCCACCTTGATTTCACACTAAAAGCCAAGAGGACAGGCAGTCAGGCCACTGGGACAAATTCTGGAGAGGGACTGTGCACAAAACCCTCCATTTACAAACGCTCGGATGGCAGATATGATATGGTCCATCTTCTTAATAACGAAATACACTAGGATGGGGAACCACATTTGGGCTAGATCTCTGAGAACCGTAGCTAAAACCTACACGAACCAAGATTCACACTAGGGCCCTTTGACTCAAACTTTTCCCTGGAGATTGTACTGGAAATGATGGACACAAACCCAGGACTGCAGGGGACAGCCCTGGGGCAGCTCCACGTCTAACAACTGGGAGGACAGGGATGGCTGGGCCAAAGCCAGCCCTGTGTATAACACCAAATGTCAGGTCTGGTGCCACCTTGGTCCTACTAGGCAAAGGGGTCAGAGGCTTCCCAGATGAGGGGCCTTAGAGGATAAGAACACTTTCTCATTTTATTTCACTTTTTTACAGAAAAAATCGAAGCATCCTACTCAAATGTACAGTGGTGCCCATGATCTTCAATGTACAGAAGAAAACCACTGAAGCTCAGGGTGGGGCTTGCCTGAGGCCACACTGCCATCGCCACCCCTCCCCTCAACCACTGGTCTGCTGTCAGGATGGGCCAAAAGCTTATGTCCCCTCGGGGCCCAGAGTCGGTTTCTTCTTTGCTCAAACACCTGCCCACCATAGATAGAAGGAAGGTCAGGGACCTTCCAGCGCTCCCACCAGAATCAGAAGTGCCCTGACACATACTGCACTCCCGACTAAGACCAGTATAATTAACCTTTTACATAAAGTGCCCCCCCATGTGAGCATACTCCTATAAAGAACTGGCAAACTACCCCCACTGGTGACGCAGCCTGACATGTTCTGCCCCTCCCCAATCAATGTACAAATACACTGTTTCCAGACCCACTGCCAGCAGTTTGCCTAGTGCTGCCCTACACGCTCCTCCTGCCCATTTCTTGTTATTGCACAGAGAAAAGGCTTCTGTGTCACCCCCCACTGGGCTAACAACTGATGGGCAACATCTCTATCCAACTACCCCTAGGATCCAATCTCATTTTAACAGCTCACTGTGGTTTTTCCAAAGTCCCAGCCAGGACACTGAACTTTCTAGAAGCCCCACCCACCTATCCACAGTAAGCCACACCCCAAAGCCACCTAGAGAATACTTGAAGCAATGCCCCGCCCTCCAGACAGAAATTCAAGGGTAACAGTTGCACTTCTCACTTCTGCTTATTCGAAGGCAAAACTGACCCTGGATATTAGGGGGCCAGTACCCTGGGAGGTCTTTGGGAAGAATCTGGCTGGGATGGGTTGACTAAACCAGTGTACAAAGGGGAGGGAGATGAACAAGGACTTGGTTATGTGGCAGCAAGAAAGGAGAAAAGCTCTGCCACAGCTTCTGCAGCAGCAAGAGTTCACCACCAAGGGGAGAAATTCACTTCAGTGAATAGCAGAAGTTCTAGACTCTTCTGAGAACTGCAGACCTTAGACTCTAGGGCCAAGAACATCTTGATCTCTAGCTTTATACCAAGAATCAGAAAGATTACTCAGCACCCTTGCTCCATCACAAAGAAGCCACCTTTCCTCGCCTGCCTTCCTCACATCTTGTTTTTACTGCTGGTCCTGCCAGACTAGGAGCTCCTTGAAGGACAGGACCATCTGTCCCCCAATCAAGGGCAGCAGATGCTGCAGAGAAACAATGAGGTCTCACTACCCTGGAGAGCTCTTGGAGGCAGCCCAACCCCTAACCCACACCTGCAAGGCCCAGCCCTCCCTCAGCAAGAGGCCAGACACAAACTGGGGACACCTTACCTTACTTGCACCAATGGTGTGGAACTTTTTCTCTAGAGCCTTCCTCACAGGTTCCTCCTCTTCTTTAAAGGTGATGAAAACAAAGCCTCGTCTTTTGTGTGACTTTGGATCCATTGGAAGATCAATGGCCTCAATCTGCAAACACAGGCAAAGCTCAGGACCAGGATCTCAGCAACCCCGGGGCCCACAGGGACAAGTTCCCTGAAGGCCAGAGACAGAGAAGGAAGGCCTGCTCAGGAGCGCTCCAATCAGCCAAGGCCATCAAGGACCAGGGAGACTGCTGCCTCAGGACACACACTCACCTCCCCAAACTCGCCGAAGTACTCTCTGATTTCCTCCTCAGTGGCTTCTGGATTCAGACCCCCCACAAAAATTTTCTTTACAGGTTCTTTCTTCATGGCCATGGCCTTTTTGGGGTCAATGACACGACCATCCAGCCTGTGCTCCTTCTGATCTAGGACCTGGTTCCAAAAGAAGGAAACTGGACTCTAACTCAGCACCGTGACCCTGGTAAAGGCCCTTCTTTTGGAGCTACAAAACCCCCAAACAGGTACACAAAATGTTTCACCCCCTCCAAACCCTACTGCCAACCTGACTTTCCAACCCTGCCTGCAAACATTAACACGTAAGTCAGTCCTCACCACCCCCCAGACTTCTCCAATGCTATACACCCCTCTTCCTACCTAGGCAGGCCCAGTTTAAGGCCTAGCTCCTGAAGTACAGTGGAGGTGACTAAGAGTATAGGAGCTGGAATCCTTACTCCGCCACCTAACTAGGTTGGGTGAGCTCTTCTACTTCTGAACCTTAGTCTGAAAAATGGAGATAAAATAATGCCTGTCTCATGGCAACTTTGGACTTTTCTCCAGTCCTCACAATAAAGTGTTTTCAGTGTCCAGAACAGGCACAAGAAAAGCAATAAATGTCCACTCATCTCCCTGGACCACTCCAGCACATACCATCCCACTTGATCTGTATTTTTAGTTTTTCGAAAACACAAAGCTGCTTTTCTCTGCTTTTTCCAAAACGCTCAACCACGTGCAGAACACACGAACTAGTCACGCTCTAGAATGGCGTCCTCCTTAGAATACGCTGCTGCTACAGGTACCCAGCTTACCTTCTCCACACTGGCTGCATCTTTGAAGAGAATAAACCCAAACCCTCTTGACCGGCCAGTGTTGGGATCCATTTTTATTGTACAGTCAACGACCTCTCCAAATTTGGAAAAATAATCCTTCAGGTCGTTTTTGCTGGTATCCCAGCTCAGGCCACCAACGAACATTTTTCTGAAATAGTAGGGTGAGACACATGGCAACAAGTCTTATAAGAAAGCTGTGACATTAGGAGGACAGGCCCTGGCAAAGATTTCGATGAAGAGTTTATAATAAAGCCACCATCCGGAACAAAAGCCTACCCCTTGAATCATAAGGACTCTTACTTTTTGGAAGGTGTTAAATGTCCACTACCCTCCCAATGTCAACCTGGACCCTAGCAAAGCTTCAGGAGACAGCACCCCCCCCCCGACTGGGCAAGGGAAAGGAAGGACAATCTGGCCAGGGGTACAGGTCTGAGCGCTCACAACTGAATCAATTTGTATAACAACCACGTATCAAAAAACTATCGTCCCTGCCAGCCTTCGCCACCTCCGAAAACTCGCTCTAAAGGAACTCGCGTCTTCCGGGTGCCGGGACCGTAACTCCGCCTTCGGCAGGAGGCGGAGGAGAGGGAGGACGCGGCCCGGGCGCGCGCCAACTCCGCCCACGCAGGGCCCGCGCGACCCAGACCTGCTCGGCCGCGGGTTCCAGCGCACGCCCCTTCCGGGCGCCGGCCCGTCCCCGGCCCCGCGCAAGAGGCCCCGAGGCGGCGCCAAAGTCGATCCAACAAACTCCTGCAAACTCCAGCGCGAGCGGCGACGCAGCAGACAGGTGCGGAGGGCCGGTCCTCGGGCCCGAGCAGGCCCGGGCCGCCCGCCCCTCCCCCCGCCGCGTGGCGCCAACAAAAGGCGGCCCCGGAACAAAGGCGGCGGCCGGTCGGCCCGGGGCCGCACCTACCCTGCGTCGTCCTCGGTCCTGCTGGCGTTGATCTGGTCGCCCTCGGCGCTGGTCTGGTTGACGGCCGGGGGAGCCGCACTCCCGCCTCCTGAGCCCGCTGCGGCCCCGGTGCCGGGCCCGGCCGGCGACTCGCCTTCAGGGGCGGCCTCATGCCCGTTCTCGGTGGCACCCGTCGTCTCCATTAGCTGCTCCTCACCCGCTTCCGACATGGTAGACCGGGGTGCAGCGGCTCCTGCAAAGAGCGGCCACAGCACGTCAGGCCGGAGCGGGTCCCGCCTGCCGCCCGCCGCCCGCGGGCCCGGCCGCTCACCTCGCCGCCGGTGAGGCCGCGAGGCCCGTTCGTCCCCACCCGCCGGGAAGGTGCGGCGAGCTCGGCCGCGATCAAGCTCGTGCTGCCCGGCCTTCCCTCCCTCCGCAGACGGAGCCGCCGCAACCTCGCGCGCTCCTTCTCGACCACCGCTGCACGGAACCCACCGACCAAAAGACTCGCCCGGGCCCGCGCAGCGCCGCCGCCTGACAATACCGACTCGTGGCGCTCTTTATAATGCCGGAGCCGGGATCCACTTCGCAACAAGACGCATGCTCATTGGCTGCGCCTTCCCGTCATTCAACCCTGCACCGGCGTCCCATTGGCCACGTCGGCGCGCGAACGCTAGATCCGGGCGGGCTTTGTCCTCATTTTAGAACCCGCGCGAGCCTGGGCCCTGCGGAGGGTTGCCGGATTGGAAAATGGTCTTGTCGTAGGCCGTGAGGCCCGAGTTGTACCCTCTGTTCAGTCAGGCCGCAGTCTCTCGTTCCAGCTCTCCCAGTCCCAGTTTTGATAGCCGCGGCTTCTCCCATTACCCAGAAGAGGAAAATGGGCTCGAATAAGTCTCACAAACCAAGGCCGCCCGGCTGGCAGTGGCAGAGCCCGGGCGGCCGAGATCCGGCGCGTAGGGTCCGCCAGGGAAGCTCGGAGGGATTGCGACGCGGCCCGCCCGCCCCCCTTGACCTTGGTCCCCTCAGAGCCCCGCGCTCGCGCCCTTTCTGCCACCTCCCACAGTAGCAAGAAGCGGGTTGGGGGAGGAGTCCTCCGGGGATCTGGTGCCAACCGTGGTGACCAAGTTGTGGCGGGAGAAACGGTAGAACCATGGTTGTTCCCTAATCTCAGATCGCCAGACACCACTTTGACGATTGGCACCGCGTTTATACTTCTGGTTGCTTAAAAAGTGCGCTTAATTCACTTACTTTTGCTGAAATTTAATTTTTAAGAAAAATATACCACTAACAGGAAATCATCGGGGGGGGTTCTGTTTCTTATATACAAACCCCCTTAATATTATCTCCTTGACAACCAAATTTGAAAAGGCCTGCATAATCCTGTGATTCCACATGTGGATGAAGGGTCCCAACTGAACCTGCATCACAGCCTCAGAAGCCTGAGAATTACCGATGGCACCAGAACACAAGTAGCTGACAGTTTCCCTGGGGGATTCCTGCAGCCAGGCCCAGTGTGGTGGGTAGGCAGTCTACTTTCTCATCTGGTCTCCTAACAGCCCTGTGAAAAGAGATACCATCACCAATTTACAAATGAGGACACCGAAGTCCAGAGCCTCGGGCCAAAGCATACTCCCTTATCCCGCCAGCCCAGGAGTTGCTGTGAGAATGAAAAATGTGACAATTTTACAACTGGAAAAAATAATCGACTTCAGAAAATCTGAAGATTTGGCCACACAGCACTGCACCTTCCGCAAGGTATCAATCAACTAGAGCTGGGGCACCAATCCCCATGTGATCAAATGCCCTCTGCTTCAACTACAGGCCCACCTGACCACTTCAGACTAGGTTCCAAAACTGCAATTGACATATATTCATAAAACCTTAGTCACGTATTGATCTGCCAGTAAGGCTTGCAGTGAAATCCAGAACCCCACAATGAAGATAATTCAGGTGATTCCCCAAGTTCAAAGTTAAATGGTCTAAGTGCAGTCACAGGACATAACTCCTGGGGACACGAATTCACTTAATCTGTCCTTGTCCACGTGGATTCCTTTAGCACAACTTGGGAGACGCCTTTAATGACATGTCAAGTCCAAGGATGACAACATTCAGACCATGTTTCACAGCTTGCAAAATGCTTTCACCAACATGGTTTGACTGGGACTTCAAAATAATTTGTGTGTGCTTATCCATAACTTCCACAGGAAAATGCTGAAATCACACATCTAAAACTGGCCACAAAGCCTGCACTTCCAACTGCACATTGTTTCCAGGGCTCCTGGCTGGTGTAAGCCAAGGGGTCTCCGAGCTCCTGAGTATCTTGGTCTGAATTAGATCCTGTGCCAGATTTAATTATTCTGAAGCTCAAGTGAAACAATGGCTTAGTAAACACTTTATAAACTACAAGGACTGCAGACCAGTGGGGGGGGGGGGAGTCTTGGCCCAGAATGTTTTTTTTGTGTGTGTTGTCTTTTTAAAAATAAAAACAATCACATAGCATTTATTGTGGTCTGGCAATAACAAAAGGGTACTCAAAACAATATGAATAAATGTTCGAGGACTACCCGCAACAAAGAACACCTAAAAAACACAAACTGTATTGCTCCTCAACAATTTTTCATTTCATTAGTCATTTCTAGTTGGAGACACTTTGGAGGAGAGTAATATTATCTCCTTTCAGCATGATCCGACCTAGTTGTTTTCTTGACTTTTAGAATGAATCTCTTCTGCATCATCTAATACTAGGTTCATGTACTCATCAAAACCAATGATACAGCCCTCTATCCGCACATTCACTTGCTCATAAAGCCACACCTGAATTCGAGATCTATTTTGCAAATATCTGAAGATAAGGTTGATAGGCTGCACCATCACCTTCTGCACTTTTTGGCCCTGGCCACGGTACGCCATGGTGGAAAGACCATCTTTCACCAAGCTGATGAAAGACCCCCCAAAATGTTTTTATATTGCATCCAGGGGCGTTTCTGACAGAAGCAGGGCCTTGGGGTTTGCGAGCAGCAGAAAGTCCCTTTGACACAAGGATCTCCACTCTTGTTATTGGGTCCCAGCTATAGACCAAGGGGACAGGGCATCTTCCATGACAATGAGGTTCTTGAATCAGCAAGGAACCCGATTACCACCAAAAGTCACTTAAAGAGACCCAGAGAATGTCCAGTACAGTCCCCTGGTTCTGAGGATTCAGGCTGTAGGGCAATAAATGTGTAAGAACATGTACAACCACCAGTCTAGCATACAGGGGACAGGTACAAAATGCAATTTCAGAGTTTTTTAAATTACATGAACTGATTCTTCTCGCTTTTCTTTTTCTTTTCTTTTTTTTTTTTTTTTTTGGCTGAGCCTACCAGGTAGAAGCTGCAGGAGTTAACGACAAATATGCTGTGACAGTGGTGGCCGACGCCCACCTGGGCCACTTCCCACTCAGGCCCATGAGCTCCAGCTCCCCCACTTCAGGGCTGACTCTGGCTCCAGCCAGAGGAAACTTTCTAAAACTGTCACACTCTGTGTGAAAACCCTGGCTTTCTTCCGGCTGCTCTGAGAATGAAATCCTAACCCCGAATACCAGTGAGACAGTTGGCAGTGACAGAAATCCACCCCCGGCTCAGCTGGACCCCCTTGCTGTGTGGTCTGTGAGTGGAAGGGTCACTCTGGGCCTGGGCAGTGGAGGTCAGGGCCTCCCCCAGACTTCCCTTCCCCAGGGGACCACATGTTCTGCTGGCACAGCTACATTCTGAATAAGAGCTGTTAGGCCCATGTCACACTTGACATGAACGAGAAAGGAATCTGCTAAGATGGGGGTTTGTCTCCAACTGCAGCCTCACCAAGCCTGACCGTTCCGCACAGCTTGTGAGGCCAGGCCTGAGCTGCCCCCCGCCACAGCTTATGCCCACTCTTCGCTCCAGCTGTGCTGACTCCTTTTATTTCCCGGAACTCAACTGTCCCCTTCTGCCTCTGGAGGTGCCTTTTCACCTGCTGTTCCCTCTACCTGGAGTACTCTTTTTCACCTTTCATCAGCCCAGTCTACAGATCTGTTGGTTGAATTGTGTAGCCCCCCCCACAATAGTTCAAGTCCTAACTCCTGGTACCTGTGCATATGACCTTACTTGGCAAGAGGGTCTTTGCAGATGTAATGAAGACAAGGTCAAACTGGAGTAGGATGGGCCCTTAGACTAGCGCCTTCTAGGAAGAGAAGACACCTAAGGCCTTGTGTATACAAGGAAAATGCCAGGCAATAACGGAGGCAGAGACTGGAATGATGCATCCACAAACCCAGTGTCCTAGTCAATCTGGCCTGTTTTATAGATTAGCATAGACTGGGCAGCTTCAGCAACAAACATTTACTTCTCACAGTTCTGGAGGCTGGGTTTCCTGGTTTGCAGATGGCCATCTTTTCGCCATGTCCTCACTTGGCAGGCAGGGAAGATATAGGAGCTCTCCCTGGCCTCCGCTTACACACTCACCAATCCCATCATGAGGTCCCTGTCCCCGTGACTTCATCTAAACCTCATTGCCTCCCAAAGGCCCCACCTCCAAATACCATTACCTTGGAGATTAGAGTTTCAACATATGAATTTAAGGGGACACACTCAGTCCATAGCACCAGCGAACATCAGGGACTGCCAGCAACACCGTAAGCTAGGAGGCACAGAACGGATTCTCCCCTAGAGCCTGCAGAGGGAGCACGTGGCCCTGCCCGCACCTTGATGTTGAACTTCTGACCTCCAGCACTGGGAGAAAATCAACTGTGGTTGTACGCCGCCCAACTAGTGGTGCTTCGTTATGGCAGCCCTAGCAGACTCATACAGCATCCATCAGATTTCCACTTCCTCCAGAAAGTTCTCGGTGATGCACCAAGGAAGTGTCCCTCTAAGAGTGTAGACCACATCATACTGACACTGGCCAATGAGATCCTGCACTAGCTCTGTCCCCTTTACCCCAATGCCTCCAGGAGGAACCTCAACACCTGCAGAATGAATAAAAGATCCCTTAACCTAGGGTTACAAACTGGTTCCTTATGGGCCAAACCTGATTCAGATGTGCTTGCTTGACCCGCCATGTTTTCAACATCTTAAGAAATTATTTACCAACATTTACGAAGTATGATAAAAAATGTTCTACTTCCCACAATGGAATACTATGCAACAGAAAGAAAGAAAGAAGGAGCTCCTACCCTTTGCCAATAGCATGAAGGGATCTGGAGAGCATTATGCCACTTGAAATAAGCCAGGCGGTGAAAAACAAATACCAGATGATCTCACCTATAAGTGAAACCCAATCAACAAAACAAACAAGCGAGCAAAATAGAACCAGAGACATGGAAATAAAGAACAAATTGAGAGTGACCAGAGGGAAGTGGGGAGAGGACAATGGGGGGAAGGGGGCAGGGTCCTCAAGGAACATGTATAAAGGACCTGTGGACAAAGCCAAAGGGGTGGGGGGTGGGGGGAGTGGTGGAGGAGGAATGGAGACAATTGAACAACAATAAAAAGAAAGAGAGAAAATGTTCTATTTCCACTTACTTTTGGAAAATTGCTAAATGACACAGTCCCACCTGTCCACAGGAGCTGGTGGGACAGGTGCCACCCTGTTCAGCCCGTCCCCCACCAGGTCCTGTCGTCTTACTCCTGGGCCCCTGAACTCATTTTCATTGACAGAAAGCATCTGAGGTGTCAGTCTCAAACCAGGCCTCCATGAAGCTCAGCTTCTTCATTTTAAACACAAATGATAACACCCGCCTCTGCCCTGCAGCAGGGATCGGAGAAGGTGTGCCAAGTGGCTGGCAGGTCGCAGGTAGAAATGAGAGCCGCCAGGACAACTACCAACAGTAACCATAGAAGCACCCAAGGGAAGACTCCTCCCCTGCTGAGCTCCCCTGCGTGTCTCAAACCAACCCTTAGAACAGACTTGAAAGTTCTGGAGACGCTCTACCAGCTGGCGGGCCCCCACCCGAAGGT